GCCCTGTGATGGTGTCCCCTGAATAGATATGTGGGCACAATTGGCAACGGGCTTTGTTGCAAGGATAAGTTCCTGGGTTAGTGGTTCTGTTGTGTGGTATGTGGTTGTTGGTGAGTATTTGCTTCAGGTTGCGGGGCTGTCTGTAGGCAAGGACTGGCCTGTCTCCCAAGACTTGTGAGAGTGTTGGGTCATCCTTTAGGATAGGTTGTAGATCCTTAATAATGCGTTGGAGGGGTTTTAGTTGGGGGCTGAAGGTGACGGCTAGTGGCGTTCTGTTATTTTCTTTGTTAGGCCTGTCCTGTAGTAGGTAACTTCTGGGAACTCTTCTGGCTCTATCAATCTGTTTCTTTACTTCTGCAGGTGGGTATTGTAGTTGTAAGAAAGCTTGACAGAGATCTTGTAGGTGTTTGTCTCTGTCTGAGGGGTTGGAGCAAATGCGGTTGTATCGCAGAGCTTGGCTGTAGACGATGGATCGTGTGGTGTGGTCAGGGTGAAAGCTGGAGGCATGCAGGTAGGAATAGCGGTCAGTAGGTTTCCGGTATAGGGTGGTGTTTATGTGGCCATTGTTTATTAGCACTGTAGTGTCCAGGAAGTGGATCTCTTGTGTGGACTGGACCAGGCTGAGGTTGGTGGTGGGATGGAAATTGTTGAAATCATGGTGGAATTCCTCAAGGGCTTCTTTTCCATGGGTCCAGATGATGAAGATGTCATCAATATAGCGCAAGTAGAGTAGGGGCTTTAGGGGACGAGAGCTGAGGAAGCGTTGTTCTAAATCAGCCATAAAAATGTTGGCATACTGTGGGGCCATGCGGGTACCCATAGCAGTGCCGCTGATCTGAAGGTATACATTGTCCCCAAATGTGAAATAGTTATGGGTAAGGACAAAGTCACAAAGTTCAGCCACCAGGTTAGCCGTGACATTATCGGGGATAGTGTTCTTGACGGCTTGTAGTCCATCTTTGTGTGGAATGTTGGTGTAGAGGGCTTCTACATCCATAGTAGCCAGGATGGTGTTATCAGGAAGATCACCGATGGATTGAAGTTTCCTCAGGAAGTCAGTGGTGTCTCGAAGGTAGCTGGGAGTGCTGGTAGCGTAGGGCCTGAGGAGGGAGTCTACATAGCCAGACAATCCTGCTGTCAGGGTGCCAATGCCTGAGATGATGGGGCACCCAGGATTTCCAGGTTTATGGATCTTGGGTAGTAGATAGAATATCCCAGGTCGGGGTTCCAGGGGTGTGTCTGTGCGGATTTGATCTTGTGCTTTTTCAGGAAGTTTCTTGAGCAAATGCTGTAGTTGCTTTTGGTAACTCTCAGTGGGATCATAGGGTAATGGCTTGTAGAAACTCGTGTTGGAGAGCTGCCGAGCAGCCTCTTGTTCATATTCCGACCTATTCATGATGACAACAGCACCTCCTTTGTCAGCCTTTTTGATTATGATGTCAGAGTTGTTTCTGAGGCTGTGGATGGCATTGCGTTCCGCATGGCTGAGGTTATGGGGCAAGTGATGCTGCTTTTCCACAATTTCAGCCCGTGCACGTCGGCGGAAGCACTCTATGTAGAAGTCCAGTCTGCTGTTTCGACCTTCAGGAGGAGTCCATCTAGAATCCCTCTTTCTGTAGTGTTGGCAGGGAGACCTCTGTGGATTAGTATGTTGTTCAGAGGTATTTTGGAAATATTCCTTGAGACGGAGACGTCGAAAATAGGATTCTAGGTCACCACAGAACTGTATCATGTTCGTGGGGGTGGAGGGGCAGAAGGAGAGGCCCCGAGATAGAACAGCTGCTTCTGCTGGGCTGAGAGTATAGTTGGATAGGTTAACAATATTGCTAGGTGGGGTGAGGGAACCATTGCTGTGGCCCCTTGTAGCATGTAGTAGTTTAGAAAGTTTTCTACATAGAGTGCTTCCGCCGACGTGCACGGGCTGAAATTGTGGAAAAGCAGCATCACTTGCCCCATAACCTCAGCCATGCGGAACGCAATGCCATCCACAGCCTCAGAAACAACTCTGACATCATAATCAAAAAGGCTGACAAAGGAGGTGCTGTTGTCATCATGAATAGGTCGGAATATGAACAAGAGGCTGCTCGGCAGCTCTCCAACACGAGTTTCTACAAGCCATTACCCTATGATCCCACTGAGAGTTACCAAAAGCAACTACAGCATTTGCTCAAGAAACTTCCTGAAAAAGCACAAGATCAAATCCGCACAGACACACCCCTGGAACCCCGACCTGGGATATTCTATCTACTACCCAAGATCCATAAACCTGGAAATCCTGGGCGCCCCATCATCTCAGGCATTGGCACCCTGACAGCAGGATTGTCTGGCTATGTAGACTCCCTCCTCAGGCCCTACGCTACCAGCACTCCCAGCTACCTTCGAGACACCACTGACTTCCTGAGGAAACTTCAACCCATCGGTGATCTTCCTGATAACACCATCCTGGCTACTATGGATGTAGAAGCCCTCTACACCAACATTCCACACAAAGATGGACTACAAGCCGTCAAGAACACTATCCCCGATAATGTCACGGCTAACCTGGTGGCTGAACTTTGTGACTTTGTCCTTACCCATAACTATTTCACATTTGGGGACAATGTATACCTTCAGATCAGCGGCACTGCTATGGGTACCCGCATGGCCCCACAGTATGCCAACATTTTTATGGCTGATTTAGAACAACGCTTCCTCAGCTCTCGTCCCCTAAAGCCCCTACTCTACTTGCGCTATATTGATGACATCTTCATCATCTGGACCCATGGAAAAGAAGCCCTTGAGGAATTCCACCATGATTTCAACAATTTCCATCCCACCACCAACCTCAGCCTGGTCCAGTCCACACAAGAGATCCACTTCCTGGACACTACAGTGCTAATAAACAATGGCCACATAAACACCACCCTATACCGGAAACCTACTGACTGCTATTCCTACCTGCATGCCTCCAGCTTTCACCCTGACCACACCACACGATCCATCGTCTACAGCCAAGCTCTGCGATACAACCGCATTTGCTCCAACCCCTCAGACAGAGACAAACACCTACAAGATCTCTGTCAAGCTTTCTTACAACTACAATACCCACCTGCAGAAGTAAAGAAACAGATTGATAGAGCCAGAAGAGTTCCCAGAAGTTACCTACTACAGGACAGGCCTAACAAAGAAAATAACAGAACGCCACTAGCCGTCACCTTCAGCCCCCAACTAAAACCCCTCCAACGCATTATTAAGGATCTACAACCTATCCTAAAGGATGACCCAACACTCTCACAAGTCTTGGGAGACAGGCCAGTCCTTGCCTACAGACAGCCCCGCAACCTGAAGCAAATACTCACCAACAACCACATACCACACAACAGAACCACTAACCCAGGAACTTATCCTTGCAACAAAGCCCGTTGCCAATTGTGCCCACATATCTATTCAGGGGACACCATCACAGGGCCTAATAACATCAGCCACACTATCAGAGGCTCGTTCACCTGCACATCCACCAATGTGATATATGCCATCATGTGCCAGCAATGCCCCTCTGCCATGTACATTGGTCAAACTGGACAGTCTCTACGTAAAAGAATAAATGGACACAAATCAGATGTCAAGAATTATAACATTCATAAACCAGTCGGAGAACACTTCAATCTCTCTGGTCACGCAATCACAGACATGAAGGTCGCTATCTTAAAACAAAAAAACTTCAAATCCAGACTCCAGCGAGAAACTGCTGAATTGGAATTCATTTGCAAATTGGATACTATTAATTTAGGCTTAAATAGAGACTGGGAGTGGCTAAGTCATTATGCAAGGTAGCCTGTTTCCTCTTGTTTTTTCCTACCCCCCCCCCCCAGATGTTCTGGTTTAACTTGGATTTAAACCTGGAGAATGGTCAGTTTAGATGAGCTATTACCAGCAGGAGAGTGAGTTTGTGTGTGTATGGGGGTGGGGGGATGTGAGAAAACCTTGATCTATGCAGGAAATAGCCCGACTTGATTATGTAAAGAGTTGTCACTTTGGATGGGCTAGCACCAGCAGGAGAGTGAATTTGTGTGGGGGGGTGGAGGGTGAGAAAACCTGGATTTGTGCTGGAAATGGCCCACCTGTTGATCACTTTAGATAAGCTATTACCAGCAGGACAGTGGGGTGGGAGGAGGTATTGTTTCATGATTTCTGTGTGTATATAAAGTCTGCTGCAGTTTCCACGGTAAACATCTGATGAAGTGAGCTGTAGCTCACGAAAGCTCATGCTCAAATAAATTGGTTAGTCTCTAAGGTGCCACAAGTACTCCTTTTCTTTTTGCGAATACAGACTAACACGGCTGTTCCTCTGAAACCTGTTATAATGCTATAATACAGGGAAGAAAAGTAATTTAAAAATAGTAGTCAGAACACAATATTACAATTTAGTTCAATCTGGTCCATATGTTTGCTTGGTTATATACCCAAGTTGTTTCTGTGGTGTGTATTTCTTCTTCCTGAGTGTAGGATTTTACATTAATATGATCCCTTGATGCCTGCAGCCCTGGCTACTGCTCTCATTTTTCCAGGAAACTTAGCACTTCAATTCTGTCCTGATGTATGTTCGCTCCACCTTCAATTTTTATGTTTAAAAAAAAAATCACTGTTGGACTTAATCAAAGAAATACATGATCAAGAAAGACACAAAGCAGCTGCTCAAGGAACAAGTTTGGGGTTGTTATTGTTTTATAAAGCATTTCCTTAGTCAAAGAAGTTTCTGGAAACCATAATGTTGCCGGCACCCAGTGCCAGAGGCAAACAACAGCAGGGGTTTGTTGCCCGGTATGCGTTACTCAATAAACACAACAGGGTGGAGAAGCAGAAAGTTTATTTGCAGCTGCAAACAAGGTACAGGGAGAATAGAATTTTAAATTTTGCACATTAGAGCAGGTTATTATATACATTTTTATATTTTTTAATGTTACTGTACTACACATTAGCTAATTAAAACTTTGCATAAATACTTTGCTTTTTTCATATGGGTTATAATAATGTTTATTTTTTGCAACTTTTAATAAGCATTTTTAGTAACTTAAACAACCAGCACATTTTGTTTGGCTTTGTAGCTGTTTCTTTTGTTATTTTTAATTTGGCGTTAGCAAACTTTATATTATGAGGCATTATTTGCGGCTGCAACATTATTTTAAGAGCAAAAGAGCTTACTTAAACCAGCCAGGCCTGAGTTTTATTAAGGGGGGGTTGAAAAGAAGTCCTTAGCCCTACAGCAGGGAGACTTTTTTGATTTTTATGGCCTTTTATTTTTTTGACTTAACTAGTGGCCACACCCTGGGGTTTTTAATAATTTTTTTTTTGAGAATACTTATTTTTGTTGCTTGAGTTTTTTTATTTTTATTGCTTACTAGTGGGCTATGCATAAAATTAAAATTTTTAAAGCTATGCAAAATAAGCATTTTTACACAGGATTACATACAACACAGTAAACATAATATGATTAATACAGGAAAAAAAGCTTAAATTATAGGCTAAACAATTTACTTAGTTACAAGGAAAGGCTTTAACCAGAAAATAAAGAGCCCAGCCAATTTTTTTTAGTTTGTTGATGAATGCTTTTTTATTTATTTTTTTGCCTTCCCGGCGGGCTGCCGTTTGAATAGTAATTTTAGTTTAAGATTTTTAGTGGAGGGGGCTGAATGCACAGTTTACCTTTCAGCCGGGGGCGGGGAGGGGGTTGACACCGCTTTTAGCTAGGTATAATTAATTTAATTTTTGTGTTTTTTTACTTTTGTTGCCATATGGGAGACTACAAGGATGGTATAGGGTTTTTTTTACTTTTTTTGGAGGGGCTTGGTTTTTTAGGTACATACCAGCACTGAATTACCAGGCTGCAGGGAGTGGATGGGTGAGTTTAAGGGTAGAGGCTGGGAATTTTTAGTATACCTGTGAAGAGACAAAAGAACAGCAGACAGGGAATATATATACTGAGACCGAAACCCATTTTTTAATTTTAATTTTTATTTTGATGCAACTGGTGTATTATTTATAGCCCATGTTTTTTTAAATATAGTTTTAAAGGGACTGAGCCCTAATTTACTTTTTGGGAGAGCACGGATGCGGAGCAGAACTAGGGGCAGGGCATTAGGCCACCGTAGGGAGGCTTTTTGGCATACTTTTGAGAGATGTTGCTTAAGGGTCTGGTTGGTTTGTTTTACTACTTTACTGGCTTGCGGCTTTTAGGGTGTATGGAGTTTTTAGGGAATTTGTAAAGCGTCTGAGATGATTTGGACGATTTTTGACGTGAAGTGTGTTTTATTGTTAGATTTTATTTACTGGGGAAGTCTAAAGCGAGGAATGATTTTTTTAACAAACTTGAGAGCCACTGTTTTGGCAGTGCAATTGCGAAATGGAAAGGCTTTTGGCCATTTGCTGAATTTATTTACTATGACAAGGAGATATTTGAACCCTTGGGTCCGGGGAAACTTAGTAAAGTTTATTTGCTACACCCGTCTGGGGCCTGGAGTGGGTTCCAGGGCCCCTGGTGGCACTGGGTGTTTTGGTCGGGGGTTATTTTTTTGACAGACTAGGCATTTTGCCTGTACCTGGGCAGCCAGGGGTCTGAGTCTGGAGGTTATAAAGTACTTTTTTATTAGTTGGGTAAGTGCCTTTTTGCCAGCACGAGTGGTTTAATGTAATTTTTGTAATATTGGCAGGATTAGGCCTTTTGGTAAGAGGACTTTTTTTTCTGGGGAATGAAGCCATTTTTTTTTTTGGAGATTAAGTTTGTTAGCTAGCTGGGTTTTTTTTTTAAGAATACTGAGGGGTTGGGAGCTCCCTTACTGATGGGATAAGGGCATGCATATAGGTGTTTTTAGTTTGAGGGGACATCAGGGTGGCAGCATGCTTTGTCTTTTTATATGCCCTGGCATTACTCCTGGTTATATTTTGATTTTTTTTTTTGATGGGCCTTACAGTGTACTACTGCCACTTCCAAGGGGAGTTGCACTGCCTTTAGAAGCTGTAGAATTTGGGGCCCGTACTTGACTGGGGAGCCTTGGGCTGTTAGCATTTTTTTTTGTTCTTACAGGCCAGCATGAGCATGCAGCACACCAAAAGCATATTTGGAATTAGTGAAAATATTGACCCTTTTTTTTTGGGACAGTTTGAGTTCACGGGTCAGGGCCACTAGCTTAGCCAACTGGGCAGAGGTCTTAGTGGGCAAACTTTTAGCTTTTATGGTGTTATTGAGGGTTACAATAGCATAACCCGCTTTTTTTTTGCTTATTTATTACTATGCTGCTACTATTAGTGTACCACTTATAATTTGCATTTGGGAGGGGCACATTTTTAAAGTTTGGGCGGCTAGAATATTGGGCATTTATGATTTTTAAATAGTTATGTTTTTGTTTTTTAGTTTTTGGTAAGAGGGTGGCAGGGTTAAGGGATGGACAAGGCTGCACCGTGACCTCGGGGTTTTTTAAGAGCTTTGCTTGGTATTTTTGCTTGTGGCGCCCATCACAGTGAGGGAGTCTGCTACTGGCAACTGAAGGGGTGATTTATAGCAGTTTGTGCTGCTTTAGAGTTTACTAGAAAATTAATTTTTTTATTTTTTACCCGCATTTTTACTTGGGGTTTTGGGGGTAGGATGATTTGGGTTTTTTTGATATTTTTATTTTTGTTTTCTTATTGTTATTATAGAGGTACTGCGTTTTTTTTGAGGCCCCCGATGAACTCACCAGTGCGCGCTGGGCGTCGGTTGTCGCTGCAATCCTTGACCGCCGGAAGGGATTCGGGCAAGGCTAAATTGCAGCCTTACGCCCACCCAGGGACGCCAAAAGCTGTTGCCGGCACCCAGTGCCAGAGGCAAACAACAGCAGAGGTTTGTTGCCCAGTGTGCGTTACCCAATAGGGTGGAGAAGCAGAAAGTTTATTTGCAGCTGCAAACAAGGTACAGGGAGAATAGAATCTCAAATCCTGCACATTAGAGCAGGTTATTACACACACTTTTATATTTTTTAATGCTACTGCACTACACATTAGCCAATTAAAACTTTGCATAAATACTTTGCCTGTTTTATATGGGTTATAATAATGTTTATTTTTTGCAACCTTTAATAAGCATTTTTAGCAACTTAAACAACCAGCACATTTTGTTTGGCTTTGTAGCTGTTTTTTTTTGTTATTTTTAACTTGGCATTAGCAAGCCTTATACTATGAGGCATTATTTGCGGCTGCAACATTATTTTAAGAGCAAAAGAGCTTACTTAAACCAGCCAGGCCTGAGTTTTATTAAGGGAGGTTGAAAAGAAGCCCTTAGGCCTACAGCAGGGAGACTTCCTTGACCCTTATGGCCTTTTATTTTTTTGACTTAACTAGTGGCCATGCCCTGGGGTCTCCAACAATAAGAGTGCTAGACTGAATGACAGCTCAAGCAGTAAGCTTCATTGTTTGAATACTGACTAATGCTTCACCACTGTTACAGAAGCAACCCTGCAGACAACCATTTGCATACAGGTCATTTACAAGTCCATGGACCACAGTTTGAAAGCCACTTATGTAGAGAAAGTCATTTGCCAAAATCTTGCTTGCTAGTGATTATTTCTTCAGTGAAATGCCAGTTGTCTCCTCTGTTACACATCTGTATTTTGTCTCTTTGCTAAAGTGGATAATTAATATCAAGTGTTGATTTTAGCATATGGTTGAGCCAGCTCAGATAAAATCCAAACAAAATGCTCACCCATGAAACTTCACCCAAAAGTTGAAATGAAACTCTTTAAGTTATGTTATGTTCCGTTATGTTTTATTTTTAATGTTTGCAGTGGTTTATGTGTTTCTGGTTTTGGGGCCAGAAGCAGAAGTAGCGAAATACTATGACAGAGCCAGTTTTTGCAAGATTTCCAACTTAACTCTGTAGACCCAAGAGATTCAGATATGCTTCAGAAACCATCCAAACTTTGGAATATTCTCCTTAGAGAAACAGTGGAGGCACCATTTTTTGAGCTAGATTAATTTGACTAAACAAAACACTTGAGAATATACAGTGGGGAAATTACAAAATTGCAAAATATCCAGGTCCATATCTACATACATTTTAAATATTTTCAAAAATACATACAGGCACTTTTTTCCAAATAAAAAATTGACAGTTAAACACAAAGTTTTAAATCACGATAAATTAAGACTCTACAGAGAAGACTTTGGGAAATGGGTCATTGAACAGCCAATCACATTTAAAAAAAATATTAGACAATTATCTTTCAGTCTCAAATGGATATTTTCTCTTTCCCCAGATCAGGGTGGATGTGCATGGGTGAAGCAGTCAGGTGATTGGGAAGATGCAGCAAGCATGGAGGTAACTACATTTTGGCACCACAGCAAAGGGTCTATCTGATTCGCTGATAAAAAGTCAAGTGGTAGAGACATTTCCCAAAGAGAGAACAGTTTCGTTTTTTCCCCCAGCTCTCCCTGAGAGTGCCAGTCTCCAGCCTCTGTGTAGTATCTTCCATAGCCTGTACATGGTTTTTATGTCACACTAGACATCCAGTTTTACAGATAGGTGGTGGAATTTTCTGTGGTGGCCAACTGCAGGTACTCTAGGGTGCCTTTTCGGTAGCTGCCCACCCGGGAAGGCTCACGGACCAGGACCCCTTCAGATTGCCTTTTCCCCAGAGACTCTGTTATCATCCCTGCTAAGTCATCTTGCAATCGCTGTTGATTCTCCCTGGAAATAGCAGGAGAGGAAAGATTTCAGTGACCCATGCAATACAGGTACTATGATCCTCAGTTCCCAAGCCATTTTTAGACAATTTCTATCCTACCATCTTTCCAGAAGCCCTCAATATACTAATAAGATTGATTCTGCCCACAATCTATTTCAAGTGGACATAGAAATCCAATTCAGGATCTACTTGTGACTGTTCCTGACAATATGGGTTATTGTCTCTGCCAAGGAAGTTTGCTTTAGCATCACAATCTCCCACCTGTAGAGTCTGTGAAATTACTTGGAATGAAGAGGAGAAAAACCTGAACTGGATTCACAAACCTAGTTGAAATGGACTATGGCTCTGACTCTGTGACCAGACCCAGTTTTAAGTACCTGTAATATTCAGCTGCAGGTGTCTCTCAAAATAGTGGTAGTATTCTTAGAATTGCCACTCTGCCAGAAATTCATGGGACACATATGATTTTCACAGGCATGTCCCATGCAGAACAATTAAAAAATTCCCATATATATCATACTGGTGCCATATCACAGAGTGAAGACAAACATCACAGATAGCAACGGGTAGGGTCTGAGGGATACCTTCAAACACACCTTCAGAGGGAGAGCTAAAACCCTAAAGACAATACTCTCTACTGCTCTTTTTAAAATTTCTTTAGGTTAAAAAAGTGCCTAGTTAGAAAATAAGTGTACTGAAAAAAGTAGGCCAGGAATATCACTTCCTAAGCCCACAGATGAATGTGTGTACAACAAATCTCTCAAGAGTGCATGGGATTTTAAACTACCCAGAAAACTTGATGCTCTCTGGTCTGGAAAGACCCTGACAAAAATCACCTCTTATCCCTTAGAGAAGGGCAGTCTCTTCTGCTTTAGCTAGATATGAATGAATGGTCAGAGTGTTGAATTTGTGCAATGGGACATGACCTAATTCTCAAAAAACTTTTGCAATAAAAATAATAATTAATAGTATCATATTTATTTAGTGCCTTTCACCCTAAAAGATCCCAATGTGTTTTACAAACTACCATATACAGTATGTAAAGGAATTACTTCAATCTGTATTGAAACACAGTCACTCCTGAGGTGGATCACAACAGCTGCATAAATAGTACACAGCAACACTACACAACGGGTTAGGATAGGAAGTGAAGAAGAACTCCATATCTCACTGAAACTATTTGGAAAAATGTAATCAGCCAGACTTGAATTTGATCATGTCACTGGAACTAATGCCCTTTGTACGGAGCAAAGTACATCTTAAAATTACCACAAGTGGTCAGGAACTCAGTTTTATGTCACTTCTGAAAGGCAGCACTTCAGTGTCACCACACCCCTTTACTTTGGAAACTGACTGAGTGTCAATTCAAAAGGAAGACTGTTACCTACCTGGATCTGATTAAACCAGGACATCAACCTAGTATTTTTTTCCTGGTAACTCCTCTCTTATGCTCCAGAAACTGAAGTTTTGTTTAGAAGTTTTTAAAAATTAAGTCTCTAGACCTTATGCCTGTGAAGGTAATCTTCAAAATGAGAACCCAATATCAACAAAGAGGTGCCTGAGTCTGCAGACAACCTCAAATGGTAACTAAGAGGTGTGAACTGCTCTCATTCATCTCATTTTGGTATTGAGTCTGAAGCTTCATGATGACAGTTTAATGTTAATGTTATTAACTGTTTCACTACTGATCAAATCATACAAGAAAAAAAGAAGGGAAATTACATAATGAAATCTGCACACATTCTATTGTGATTGGTGCTTGGACTGGGGATAAAGCTTGGGAGAGTATCACCACTCTTTTTCCCCCAATCTGAACTTGCACCTACTAAATCAACACCCCTTTCTGGTGAGTTTTCCTTGAATGTCTCCCATCCAAGGCCCTGATCCAGTAAAGTATGTAAGCCTATTAGCAATCCCAGAACTAATACTATTATGTATACTTGCATGTGTTCATATGCACATACACTGCTGTGTCCTTGACATGAGCCCAAGGAATACCAAAAAGTATAGTAAGTTAAAAATTCTGAGGGGAGAAGTGCACTTCAGCACTTTTGGTGAAGGCTGAAGTGCAAGGCCTGAAAGTTTCATTTCTCCCTTCCCACAAATAAAGAACATCTTACACAGAAGGAGGTGTTGGGAGATTATACTGCTGGTCCTTCACCCCTGTCAGCCAGTAGGTAATCTCAGTTCCTTTGCCCTAATATGTCAGAGAAGAGAGAAGCACAATTTAGGGATTAGATAGGCACAATATATGATTTATATGCTTTATGTTGCACTGTATTATATGATTGTTCTATTATCTTTGCTTACTGTATTTAACAGGCACCCAGAGCATAGGATGGGCACCTATCAAATTTTATAAACTGAAACAAATAAATGTAACAAAGCAAAGGTGAGCAAATTAATAGGCCTCTCCCACCATACCCATTCACCACTGCCTCCTCGCCAAATTTTTATTACCAATGATATGTTTCACCTACAGTACTTCCCAGACATCTGCGTTGCCTTGACTTTTGTCTCAGATGCTTTTTCAATGGCTATATTAACTCTAGAGGGGTGTCTCCATCACCCTGTGGCTGTGTTGCCAACAGATACGTCTCTCTTGCTCTCCTGCTCTGTGTCCCTGGTGTAGCCTCTCTCCACTATGCCCTGTGCAATTTTGGCATATATATTACAATTTTTTCTTTTTGATCGGAGTTCTGCCTGCACAGATTCTTCTCCCCATACAACAATCAGATCCAGTGTCTCCTGTTCACTCCATGCTGGAGCTTGTTTGCTTTTCTGGGACTGCATAGTCACCTGTGCTGCTGAGCTCGCCATGCTGAACAAACAGGAAATGAAATTCAAAAGTTCCCCAGGGGCTTTTCCTGTGTACCTGGCTAGTGCATCAGAGTTGAAAGCGCTGTCCAGAGTGGTCACATTGGAGCACTCTGGGATAGCTCCCAGAGGCCAATTCCATCAAATTGCACAACGCTGCATCTGCACACTACCCCAAATTTGACCCAGCAAGATCGATTTTAGCACTACTCCCCTTGTCAGGGCGGAGTACAGCAGTAATTTTAAGAGCCCTTTAGGTCGATGGAATGGGGTTGGTTGTGTAGCCACATTGCTTATAAAATCGACCTAACGCAGCTAAATTTGACCTAACCTCGTACTGTAGACCAGGGCCAAGATAAGTGAACATCTCAGGTGTGTGATACCTTTAGATAAAATTTCATTCCTGTGTGTTTGTAGGCATGGTCTATGTTACCTTCAAGTAAGTCTTTCCTCTCACTTTATACTGAAAATGGCAGTCTGTCCTCTTCAGGATGGCGATAGTAGATGCACTTACATGAATCCGTAGAGCTAAAAATAAACAAACAAGCAACAAATGTTTGATTCAGAAACAACGCATGAACATATTCATTTTCTGTGAAAACCTGTGCTATGGTAGAGGTGTATCTAATTGTCACTGATGTCTTAGGACTAATTCTGTGCGCAAATGACATTAATGCTACCCATATATTGTTGAACCCAAAAATAACTACTCCGTCACATAACATTATATACAAGGAAAGACTAAAACTACTAAATAATTATAGCTAGACCAGCCAATGCCTCAGGATAGAAGTGATAACAGTATCTGCGGGGTAGGGGGACAGGGTAAATATCAAGAAGGGGAAGGAATGGGAAGAAACTGAGCAAAGGGAAGAAAATTTAGGCTGGATCTCAGGAAACATTTTTAGTTGCAAAACTATTAGATTGTGGGATATTTATTTATATATATTTATATAATAAAGATGCCTATCCAAGTCACCAGGCGCCCGAACATAATCAATTAAATTAAATCTCAGCAGCATTAAAATCACCAGTTCCACAGGAACTGAGCCAGCCAGCCACCTACCCCCTTCATCAACTAGGAAGCAAAAGAACTAGGAATAGGCCTGTATTTTCCAGGGTGGAGTGGAGGAATGGAAAATTTGATCTTCTATCTTTAAACGTCTATGCTTTGATGATAAAGTTGTTCTTGGCTGGAGAAGGAACTCTAGATTTGAATGCACAACTAGCCTAGTGTCAGATTACACAGAGAGGTGAGGTTCAATTCTTACGTAAACCTGTGGATTCCATCCTTGAAGCTGTGTTAACCGTGTCTCCAAATAAACAGTAACGAGGCATCTTAATCCCAACCACACCAGCAGCACATGGACCTGAAAGCAGAGGACAGGGTGAGGAAAGAGGAAGACAGAGAGGCTGTTATTCCATGGGGATTCAGAGAAGCCCTTGAGGTCTCAGACGTGGCTGAAAGAAATTGAAACTTAGGAATTAGCGTGATGCCATCATAACTATGGGAGTTATCTGTTAGTGTCCTGGAGTGGGTGAGTGGTCTCATCTCGAAGATGGCACTTCTAGCAGCAGAGCAGGGGCACTGGGGTCAGCAGTGATTGAAAGCACTATCTACATCACCTTGTACAGTGTCTGGAGGTCTCACATCCAACTGTAGACCAGGCCTGTCTCTGTTCAGCTTGTAAAATATATTAAATATATTAAAAGACTATTCATACTATTTGAATATATTTCTGAGCAGACAAAAATGCAGAAGTATTAGCATAATTCCTAAGTGTCAGCTCTGGAAGCAGGGGATGGAAAGAATTAACTTAATTATGGAGAAGTTTCTGTTGGTGTCTTTAGGGCCTTCCCGAATAACTGAATTGTTATATTCCTTCTCTTGTGATGGACATAAACAACAGAGTACTGAAACAAGCAAAAATAAAAAGAAAGTTTCCCCAAGTACTTGGGTTCTTTGGATTATCCACAATGCCATTCTAATAAAGTAAATCAAAAACTGATTCTCAAGTGGGCCTGGTGAGAACATTTGCCTCAAAAGCATTTAATGTAAGTCTGCTTTTCAGTGGGGGAGGAAAGGTCTCTAAGGACTCAGGTGGGTATAATGTCACCAACTCAATCTCATAAAAAGAAAAGGAGTACTTGTGGCACCTTAGAGACTAACAAATTTATTTGAACATAGGTGCCACAAGTACTCCTTTTCTTTTTGCAGATACAGACTAACACAGCTGCTACTCTGAAATCAATCTCATAAGGAACTACAGAGGTTGGTTTGCTCAGCTACCAACCTCACAGAGATGGAGTTGTTAAATGGAACGGGAGCAAGCCAATGGTCTATTTAAGTCCACCGCCTTTCCTCTAACAATGGTCTTTTATACCTGACGCTTTTGAGGAAGGCAATTGACAGTGCTTCTGGCCAGTTGTGTCATGCTATACCACAGTCTTCACAGAGAATCAATTTATGAACAATGAGGCATGAGCTCTTTTAACCATTGTTTACTTTTTGATCTAGATAGAATAGCTATGTCATTCATATTCACATGCCGTGACCCCATACCAGAGTGAATCCCTATGCGAATCCAAACAGGCAGGCCAGGAAGATGTCGTAATTCAAAGGATCCCATGAAACTAAGGATATCCAGTGCCATCATAGAGATGTCCACTGCGTGGCGGTTGCCATTTCTCTTTGGTAAGCCACTCACCACCATGTACGCATCACCAATGGTCTCCACCTGTGGAAACACGATTAACAGTTACCATTCCCGTTTACTAGAAGATGCATATAAATTGCAGATGGAAATGGGCTTTTAGAGTCATTTTCTTGATCTCTTCTTTGGCAGTGCAGGGTTGCCAAATTCCTTCCAATTAGATGACCTCTTTCTGGTAGTGAAGTGCTCAGTACACAGCATTCTAGGTAATGAATCTGTGACCACTTGGTATCAAAAACCATTTACAGAGAGCTATGTGAAGCACATTAGAGAGACGTAATCTTGGCCTGTACTTCTTTCATTTGTCTTTACTTAGTGTACTGGTTTTGAGCCTTTGTTACCACATTCTATTCCCAATTACTCTGACTGCGATGTTTTATGTATCCTGATTATTATTTAAGTGTAAGTGAGGCTCTGTTCACCTTGTAAACATCATGATGGTCGAGAATGTGGTCAAAGTTCTTATAGATGTCATTGAGCATGTCCACCACTTCCATGGGGGTGCTGTATTGGCATAGCGTGGTGAAGCCGACAATGTCGCTGAAATAGATGGTGACTGCTTCGAACAGCTCTGGCTCTACCCGCCCAGTTTCCTTCAAAGATTTTACCACTGGCCTGTGAAGAAAGGTGGAAGGGAAATGGAGATAAATATACCTTCTGCTTTAGAGGACAACTCAACCTCCTAGACCTGTCGGCCGTAAGTGTTCCAGAAATAGAAGTAAACAAACCAACATTCTGGTAATGAGTTCAACGGGCACTTGGAAAGTCAGACACGCTAGCATTTCTGGCTACTAGAGCCTTCTAGATTATGAGCTCTTATTTAGATTGTAAACTCCTTGGGAAAGAGACTTTTCTTATATTTTTGTAAAATGCTATGCATCCCTACGCTTCCCTATACATAATAACTGAGAAAATCCAGAGACAAGACTGTATCAGGCAGGCAGTCTCCTCCGAAGACTTGCTTTCAAGTTTCTAGCGTGGAATTGTGCACACTAAAGCCAAGGAGACACAGGGCTTGTCTACACAGCCCCACAGTTTTGACTATGGGCCATAGTCGAATTGCAGCACACACTTGTGTGCTATGCTATAACTCCCCTGTGTGGCTGCTGTGGATGCAATCTAAAAGGTACCTAGTTTGTACTAATTTAGTCCTGTTTAAAGAGGACTATGTTAATGTGAAGTAGTTAGTTCATGCCCGCAGCATCCATATGGAGAAGTTACAGCAGAACACACTAGAGTGTGCTTCAGTTCACACCCTCATCGTGCAAACTGCAGGGCTGTGTGGACATAGCCATACTGCTTTCTGCGTAGTTCCAATCTGTCTGGTGAACATCTGACAGCTTTGGAAGTTGAATCCAGTTTTCAATTTTCTTTTGTACACATACACTTTCTCTGTACATCTTGTTCTTGACAAGACTGGGGGTGTTTGGCTTGGTATCCTGGCCAAATTCCACGTTGGTTAATTACATTCTGCCTCCCTGAAGTCCCACTCCTGTTTCAGTTGTCAGTGGCAGTCTGTCATTCTTCACATCCTAGGGCTTTGGAAGTATATTAAGCTAAAGCACATAAAGACCATTTTAGTGCAAACAAGAGTGTCTATACGGGGAGCAAAATAGATAGTGTGCTTTAAATTCACACCCTAGTTTACTCTACACTAACTTCCCTATGTAAGACAAGACCTTAGCGTTGTTGTTTGCTGTTGAAACTGCTGCTGTATGCCACCACAGAGGTGGCTGCATTTCTGCAGAAGGTGAATTGATTCTCATATATATCATTTGTAAGGCTTGTAAAAAAAATTCAGGTTCCTTGAATATGAAAGAAGCTAAAGATATGTAAACATTACATTCAAAATTCACTGGTTAGGTCACCTAATTAACTGAAAAGTCATCTTAAAAATAGGTGTTAATTCATTTTGTGAAATGTTTGTTCACTGTACTCCCAAGGACCTCATTCCTTCCTCAAGCTAGTTTTTAAATCAGTCAGTCTGAATGTCCATCATCGTGTATAATGATTACATGAAGTCTGGGAATCCATGATGTTTCAAATTATCTTCAGACTGTTTAGCCCTCTGTTTGCACATGGCACCTACAGGTCTCCCTCTAGCATCTTCCTGTAAATCTTTCAGATGTGACACCTAGATATACTGAGGAGGACTGGTTTAGCCAGTTCTAGGCAAACAACCCTCTTAAACATCATTAGCATTCAAATAGATCAGTTATTTTATTGGTCATGGTGAGACATGCATAAGATAGAAAGTGCTCATCTATTGCAAGACAAATGTAAATATTTCAGTTACAAATCTTCTCTACAAGTGAATCAGAAAGGGCCTGCCACAATACTACCCTTTTCCACTCAACCACACTTTACAGAAAACAAACTGGAGTACGACTACACTACAGAGACTATACTGGCATAGTTAAATAGCCATAGCTATGCTGGCATAACCCTGTAGCGTAGACGCAGCCTCCACCAACTGAAGGGGATTTTTTGTTCGTTTAGGAATACCACTTCCCTAAACAATGGTATTCTTCCATCAGCATAGCTGTATCAACACTGAGGATTAGGTCATCACAGCTGTGTGTGTGTGGGGTGGGGGGTTGCTTTTTTCACACCTCTGACTGATGTAGCTATGTCAACCTGACTTTTAAGTGTAGACCAAGCTTGGATTTTTTTCTCCCATCTTTTAAATCATTAAATAGTATTTTAATTCTAGATCAGATCTGGGTTTTTTTGAGCATCTGCAGGTACTTCCTCGTTAAGGCTCTGATTTAGAAAATAATTTTAACTTTAAGCATGTGCTTAAGTGATGTGCTGAATTGGAGCCTTAGACAGGGACTTCCTGGGCACTGGCAGGTCAGAGCAGTTCCTAGGTAGCTGACAAACTCTGTTGAAACTTTGAAACTCTGTCTGTGCAAACAATGTCACATTTTCCCTCTCTGCTATACATTTTCCCCAAAGATCTTGTATGGGGAATCAGAAAGAGTAGAGTGCAGAGGGAACTGGGAGCCCTGCAAATTTACCATCTGCTGAGCTGGGTAGATGAGGGAAATAGAACAGAGGAGAGGTGGAAGCAGCCTTTGATTCTCTGATTCAAAGAAATACAGGATGAGTGTTAGAGAATATCTGTAAATAAACTGCAAGTAAGAACTTTCAAAATGGTAGACACCTTTTATGATAATAATTTTATGTTTCTCTAGAATCATTCATCTTGGAGGATCCCAAAGCACTTGTGGACATTGTGGGTATAAGGATTATTTCATCCACTACTGAAATACAATAATTTCTGGGTTAGAATATGGCAACTTGTTAGTAGCACATAACAAAAACAATGCTTCCATTTTAGAAAGAACCAAGACTTTCTCCAAATGAAACTGCAGGCTGATTTTAGGTTAGCAGAATATAATTCTCCAAGTTGGAATTTGTTAGGACCACCAACACTGACCCCCACCCCCATTTATGTAAACAGTGACATTCAGTTATGTTTATGAATTTACTTTGATTTATAACTCTAATACCAACAGACACACATTTAAAGCTCTGAGTGTCCTCACAACAAATAAAAATCACAATATCAAATACAAGCATAAATTACATTGCTCTCATTTTTTCCATCCACCTCATCTACAAATGGACCCTGTAGCATGTGATGGGGGATACCAGGCCTTCCCTGCCCCCATGCTGGAGGCATCACCACCCTGAAAAATTTGCCCAAAGGCAGAGTGTCTCCTGGGAAAGAGGGGCCATGAGAAGTGGTGAGCTGGAGCCAGTTGTTAAATTTAGAAGCCCTTTTAGAACCAGTTGTTCCGCGAGGGACAACCGGTTCTAAAAGGGCTTCTAAATTTAACTGGCCAAAAGTGGCACCTTGGGCACCGACTCCATGGGTGCTCCAGCCCTGGAGCACCCAAGGGGAAAATTTGTGGGTGCCGCCGGCTTCCTGCGAATCAGCTGTTCGCGCGGGAAGCCGGGGGGCTGAGAAGCAAGCCATGGCTTCCCGCTCAGGCCCAGGGAGGCGGAAGTGAGCTGGGGCGGGGGGGCGCGAGGAGGGCTGCCCGCGCTGCAGCAGGTAACCGGGGGGGGGGGGCGGGGTGCAGGGGAACCGCTCCCCACCCCAGCTCATCTCCGCCACCCTCAGCCTGAGTGGGAAGCTGCGGCCTGCTTCTCTGCCCTCCCCGGCTTCCCAGCCGAACAGCTGATTCGCGGGAAGCCGGGTGGGGGGGAGGGGGGGCTCGGAGAAGCAGAGCGGGGCGGTGCGTTCAGGGGAGGAGGTGGAGCGGAGGTGAGCTGGGGACGGGCGCGGGGTGGGGAGCTGCCGGTGGGTGCTCTGCACCCACCAAATTTTCCCCATGGGTGCTCCAGCCCCGGAGCACCCAGGTTGTCAGCGCCTAAGGAGCCACTTTTGATGTGATCAGTGGGGGGAGCGGCCGCTCCCCCTGCTACCCCCCTAGCTATGCTCCCCCCGCCCCTAGGAGCCAGAGGGACCTGCCGGATGCTTCCTGGGAGCTGCCCCAGGTAAGCACCACCGGGACTGCCACCTCGCCCCCCGGCAGGTGCCTCTGGCTCTTAGGGGTGGGGTGGGCACCCACTACGGTAGCCCACAAGACCCTCCTGTCTGGTTCTGGGGGCAGTCAGGGGACAGGGGAGAGGGGTGGATGGGGCAGGAGTCCTGGGGGGCGGGGGTGGGCAACGACCCCCTCGTGGGGTGAGGAGGGATCCTGTTGTTAAGATTTCGGCAGCTCATCACTGGCCATGAGTATAGAAGCCACTCAGGCTTTGGTACTGGCAGGACCAATAAAACTTGGTCCTTCAGCCGCTAGAAGAGCCCTGAGGAGGCAGTAGGCAATCAGACTCACCTGTCTGCTTCTGCTAAGAGCGGGGGAAGCTGGGGCAGGAGAGCAGCTCCCCAGTGTTAACTCACAGCATCCACACCCAGGTCAGGGGCTCACAATTTGACTTCACCTTCAGTTTAAGCATGCAACAAACTCTTCATTTTTATTGAGAGTTTAGAAGTCCAGGTGGCCATTTTTTAGATTAATTTCAACTAACTGTGACTCGTCTAGCAAAGGGCATATGGCACAAGTTGCCTTGCTCCTGACAAGCTGTGACGTAGCTTCTCTGGAAAGCTAGCTAATCTGGCAGACCAGGTGAGAAGCACGATCCAGAGCAGATCAGGCTTCACAGAGAACGACCTGTTGACAGCCCCATTTCTTCTCTATCAAGGTCTTCTGTTGAACACAATTGCAGCAGTATAGTTTGGGGAAAGAGGTGGTCTCATGGGCAACCAAGTCCCAAACTATTTAGTACTTTATAGGTGAAACCCAACCCTTAACTCCACTTGGATACCAACAGGCAGTCAGTGCAGATCCCAGAGCACCAGCATTATAGGCTCTTAGTGTGACATTCCACTCAATAAGCAGGCAGCTGCATTCTGCACCAGCTTCAGTTTCCAAATGATCTCATCTCATTAAAGTAGTCTAGGCTAAAGGTGACAGAAGCATGAACAACGGTGGTGAGGTCTGCCTGCATCTGAAAGAAACTGTCCCATTCATCTCACCAGATACAAGACTATTGGCTATAGCTTCTATCAAAGCACCCTGAAGCAGTCGTCAGTCTAACAAAACACCCATATTACCAACATGTTCCATAAATGGCTATCCCTCCATCTGGGGATCTGATATAATCTTTGCAAGTTCTTTTGATACTTTCCCTCAACCCGCTAACATAACCTCAATCTTATGTCTATGATGCTTCAGCCAGCTAGCTCTCAGCTAGCTTTCCACAAACAAATCTTTCTTTGCCTCCTGCACAGCCATGGCATAAAACTGTAAAAGTTCTTAATGTCCCAGTTAGTCTAATTAGCACAAAACTTCCTCCTCAAGTGCTCTAGCAGTCACTCCCACTTGCCCCCCTCTTGCAAGTCATCTGTAAACCATGGCGTCTTAGGAGATGAAAAAACTGTTAGAAAGAGCATGTTGGGGATACTGTATTAATAGCTGTGGACAAAAAATCATTATAAAGTTCAACCAGGCCATGAATATTATAGTCTGAGGGCAAAACAGTATTTTCAATCAGAGCACTGCAGAATCAAACCAAATCCATCACCTCAAGAGGAGAGGAGTGTCCTAATGTGCATTAACAGTCAGTAAAGGCTAAATGATAAAAACATGGGATCTTTAATCACCTTACAAGTTCAGGACCTCAGTTCTACAGCTCATTTGAAAGGTGATAATGCCAATCATAGGGAAAAAAAGAAAGAAAATGGGCCAAATTCTGCTTTTAGTCACTTGTTATAACTGACAGAATAATTTAGCCCATTTTGTCTGACCTGGATCCGGAGGCAAGCACTATGAATTGTTACAATTTATTCTGTGGAGTAAGTATTATTCATGCCTTCATGCTCACTGTGGTTGGAGCCTCCCACAATGATTCTGATGCATTACACACCAGTGGGCTTCACAGTCAATATTGAACGCTTCCTACTGCATGGAAGCCCCTGCTGGTCAACACTCACCGTGGGAGCAGCATGAAGTTAAGCCTGTCCGCTCTGTCCCTTTCTGCCTTGTATAGCTCCGTCCTCTCCTCTACCAGGTGCTCTAGGTTCCGGGAATACAGCTGCAGACGCCGGATCAAGGTATCCATGTAGCTTTCATTGGTCTGACTATGGTAGTTACTGGGAACAGTGGTTGGGAAAAGGATGAAGAAAGCTTATGCTCAAATAAATTGGTTAGTCTCTAAGGTGCCACAAGTACTCCTTTTCTTTTTTTAAAATAACCTGAGATACAAATATTCAATGGGAGAGAGTACCGTGGAAAGCGAGAATCCTGAGAAGGAGAAAGAGGTGATAGGAGGCAGCAAATTAGACAGGAGTTTGCAGTGGGAAAGAGCACCAAAAAAAGCCAATGCAATTTTGTGCTGCCTTTGCAATGGCATCTTATCACCAAAAGGGGAAGTAAACAGGCTGTGGGTCACATTCACTCATTGAGATCTGCAGGTTTCCACTGGTGGGACCTGGACTGAAGACTCCCATCAGTGGACCATCTGCCAGAAGCAAAGATGATATAGCACAAGCCAGTCATAATCTCTGCTTCACTGGGGGTCCTGAGCTAGCAGATGCAGCCCATGAAGTGGATGGGGCCAAGATGACTGGAAGATCCAATAATTCGGATTCTGATTTTAAAATCTGGCTGGATTTTAAAACTGCCTTTTCCCCAAGCAAAACATCCATGTTAAGGTGGCAGTGGAACCAACTGCCCTCCCCTAAGGTAAGCCCCCCTCTAATGCAACTGCCGCTGCAGTTGTAGGGCGTGAATTGTGTGTTCCTCCATACCCTCGGAGGCGAATCTAACTATTTTCCTGCACTTCTTTGGTGTGGCCTCATCTGGAATGTTGTGTTCAGTTACAGACACCACATTGTCAGAACAATCATGACAATCTGGAAGAAGTTCAGAGAAGAGCAATAAAAATATAAGCAAGCGGCTGGTGGGACAGACTTATGGGGATAGGTTTAAAAGTTGTGAAATAGGCTCTGAAGGGAAGTGGCTGAAAACCCATTGCTTGGGACTTTTAAATAACTAGATTAGAAAAGGTATGGCAGGGAAGTCATTTCACTCAAACCCTATAATTATCTTACTCTGGGTAACCTGATCTTTTCAATCACCTCACTTTGTGGTCACTTTGAATCCATTAATCTCACCAAAACAAGTCACCTAAACTTTCTAATCATCTCATCCCCAGAATGTCCAACTTCATTAAATTTCCTGAAACCTGGATATCTGACCCACTATCGGACACTTGGGTAGTCCCTATTTACAAAATGTAATAATTTGGGCTCTGAGTGATCATCTCTCTCATGCACCCACACCTCCCATTTTGTCAAAGGATGAGGAAGGGCCCAGTCAGTGAGCCCTGTTTTTTCACTGATTGAATCATGTTGCCTCAGACTACACCTATAACTATCAGCTTCCAAATAGCTGGGAGTTTGGAACACAGTGCTTACCTGAATATTTTAGCCAGAGTGCTCTCAATTTTCTTAAAGTCAGGTCTTTTCTCTGGATCTTCCTCCCAGCAACTTTTTACAAGCATGAACACCTGAGAATGTACAAACCAGTGGAAATTCAGGTGAGCAGTTACAAAGAATGGTAATAGGGTTAAACAGCAAGACCAGGAGCTGTTCACTAGTCAGTATGGAATTCCGCTCCCATCCCACTTGGCCAGTAACTTATTAAAATGTGACCAGTTGTTATTAATCTGTGATGAGGGAATTCATTATAGGCACCTTACAGCAATACTCTCTTCACATTAGCCACTGATCAGCAGACAGATGATACTGACATTCAGTAATGACTACCAACCTGAACAGAATTTGAATCAGTGGTCCATAAATGAAAGCCAAGTGAAAGGATTCAATCCCCCAACCTGGTATCAGACTGTAATTATTGACCTAAAAGTGAAAGCCTTAGTAATTCCATCCCCAATTCTCTGAGCTTGGGTTCTGGCTGGAACTGGTGACTCAGAGATAAAAAGTCATGCTATTACCAGTCCCTTGAGATATCCACTCTAGTGTTTAATGATTATTGTGGTTTAATAATATCAACATTTTAAAAGACATGCTACTGTAATATAGAAATTAATACTGTAATACTGTTTGAAAGTGTTGTCAAAAGATAATAGTAGTCCTTTCCCAAATAGTTACATAGACCCCATAAATCACTCCATTTAAGAATATAGGATTTGCCACACTGGATCAGACAATCCATTAATGAAGTCCAGTATCTGGGCTCTTGTCATGTGGAATCAGATGACTAATCACTTAGCCCAGTTATCCCACATGCAGAATTGGCTAATAGTTGATGCTTCAGACAAGGTAAAACACCCTCCCCATGATGCATCTGGTCAAGATGAACAGACACTGTGCCATACTAAACATACATGTGTTCCTTAAAATGAAACAGGGGTCTTCTTTGTCCCAGATGTCCCATCAAAAAATTAATGCAATTTTAAAAAAATAATTCTAAAAGTGGGGAAAATATCCTCTGATCTGTGTGCTTTTTTTTTCTTTTCCAGTGGATTGGCAAACGCCTCCCACTGGACACCATGTGAATTCAGAAAGAGCCACCCTTAACACATGTTGTAATTATTAGAAGTTACCAGGTGCAGAATAAAAATGCTGTGTTGTGGGTACTGGAGTGAGGAGGAAAGAAGTCCAGTGAATTACATTTCACTGCACTGATGTTAATTATGGGACATTTTTTCTTCCTGAAAGGCCACAGCATTGGAACGTGTAGTGTGTATAGCCTTCATCCTCCCACACCAGCCATCTCTGGCCTGGCTAGAAGCATTTCCTCTTTTCCTTTAGCGTAGGCTTACTTCCAGCTCTCTTTCTCCTGCAGTCTCTAGGATCAGGTCTGGGCGGAAGGGTCTAACTCCTTTGCCACTCTCCACTCTGTAAAGTTTCTCTAATGAAAAAAAAAGTGCAATATTTAAACAATAAAGTGGCAGTGCATCTACAAAAGGTTTTTTTCTCCTTCTGATAATAGCTCACCTTAATTGATCACTCTCACTATAGCGTGTATGGCAACACCCATTTTTTCATGTTCTCTGTGTGTATATATGTATCTTCCTACTGTATTTTCCACTGGATGCATCCGATGAAGTGGGTTTTAGCCCATGAAAGCTTATGCTCAAGTAAATTTGTTAGTCTCTAAGGTGCCACAAGGACTCCTCGTTCTTTTTGCTGATACAGACTAACACGGCTACCACTCTGAAACCTGAGTGAATTCAGTATGCCAAGGTAGTTTTATAAATAGAGATGGGCCCAAAGCAAAAGCATGGCTCTGGACACCCATGTTTTTTTTATCTGGATCTGAACTTTGGGGGGTTTCTAGTTATAAGGCTGAAGGCCAGAACAGAGTGTCTTGAAGCCACCTGAGAAATGAAAGGAACAGAAATGTATACATGCATGTATCGCGGCGAACCGGGGAAGTCCCGGATGACTGGAAAAAGGCTAATGTAGTGCCAATCTTTAAAAAAGGGAAGAAGGAGGATCCTGGGAACTACAGGCCAGTCAGCCTCACTTCAGTCCCTGGAAAAATCATGGAGCAGGTCCTCAAAGAATCAATCCTGAAGCACTTGCATGAGAGGAAAGTGATCAGGAACAGCCAGCATGGATTCACCAAGGGAAGGTCATGCCTGACTAATCTAATCGCCTTCTATGATGAGATTACTGGTTCTGTGGATGAAGGGAAAGCAGTGGATGTATTGTTTCTTGACTTTAGCAAAGCTTTTGACACGGTCTCCCACAGTATTCTTGTCAGCAAGTTAAGGAAGTATGGGCTGGATGAATGCACTACAAGGTGGGTAGAAAGCTGGCTAGATTGTCGGGCTCAACGGGTAGTTATCAATGGCTCCATGTCTAGTTGGCAGCCGGTATCAAGTGGAGTGCCCCAAGGGTCGGTCCTGGGGCCGGTTTTGTTCAATATCTTCATAAATGATCTGGAGGATGGTGTGGATTGCACTCTCAGCAAATTTGCGGATGATACTAAACTGGGAGGAGTGGTAGATACGCTGGAGGGGAGGGATAGGATACAGAAGGACCGAGACAAATTGGAGGATTGGGCCAACAGAAATCTGATGAGGTTCAATAAGGATAAGTGCAGGGTCCTGCACTTAGGACGGAAGAACCCAATGCACAGCTACAGACTAGGGACCGAATGGCTAGGCAGCAGTTCTGCGGAAAAGGACCTAGGGGTGACAGTGGACGAGAAGCTGGATAGGAGTCAGCAGTGTGCCCTTGTTGCCAAGAAGGCCAATGGCATTTTGGGATGTATAAGTAGGGGCATAGCGAGCAGATCGAGGGACGTGATCGTTCCCCTCTATTCGACATTGGTGAGGCCTCATCTGGAGTACTGTGTCCAGTTTTGGGCCCCACACTTCAAGAAGGATGTGGATAAATTGGAGAGAGTCCAGCGAAGGGCAACAAAAATGATTAGGGGTCTGGAACACATGAGTTATGAGGAGAGGCTGAGGGAGCTGGGATTGTTTAGCCTGCAGAAGAGAAGAATGAGGGGGGATTTGATAGCTGCTTTCAACTACCTGAAAGGGGGTTCCAAAGAGGATGGCTCTAGACTGTTCTCAATGGTATCAGATGACAGAACGAGGAGTAATGGTCTCAAGCTGCAGTGGGGGAGGTTTAGATTGGATATTAGGAAAAACTTTTTCACTAAGAGGGTGGTGAAACACTGGAATGCGTTACCTAGGGAGGTGGTAGAATCTCCTTCCTTAGAGGTTTTTAAGGTCAGGCTTGACAAAGCCCTGGCTGGGATGATTTAACTGGGAATTGGTCCTGCTTCGAGCAGGGGGGTTGGACTAGATGACCTTCTGGGGTCCCTTCCAACCCTTATATTCTATGATTCTATGATTCTATGATAGACATGGACACGACAACTTCCCAACTGGGCAGTAGCCATATTAGTGCCTCTCTCAGGATGGGGTGTAGCCATAGTAAAAGGCAATGTGAGAAGCCCTTTAGGATATTATGGCCTGATTTTCAGAAGTGCAGAGCACAATCTCACAAAGGGAATTGGAGCTGCAGATGCTCAGACCCTTTAAAAATCAGAGCATTAATATATATGAATATAATTTTGAAACACAGCAGTTTGTTGCCTTATTTGTACCCATAAGCAGGAAGACACTGTCCCATCCTAGCAAAACTCTCTGACTCCTGACCACGTCAGAATCCAGGTCATGTTTTCAAAACTCATTCATACTGTGCCATCAACAAACCATTAGTTTGCTTCCTAACTTGCAGTAATGAATGTTCTGCTAGTCCAACCATGTAAAGGGCTTCTGTAAGAGATATCACAAATGATTCTACACATTCAGCAGGGGGATTTTTTGCCTATTACTGGTCCTTCTATGTGTCTAGTTTCTATCTACCTACCTACCTAAGGTATTTACAGCATGTCAATCATCATAGTATCTTGGTGCTTCATTTCAAAAGCAGAATATGACTCAAGCATATTCAAAAAATTCTTCATTTGTTACCTGTCCTCTCTCTGATCCTAGCTAATGAATTAGGCCAAACATTTACAAATGAGGAGCTGTTGAGGGCCTTCAAAACCTTCCTAATAGTGAGTCCCAATCCCCCTGATTCTTGGCAATAAAAACCTAACCCCTCAGCTGTCTGAATGTATGCTGAACTTATTTAACCAACTTCTGAAATCAGAATCAATATCAGATCCCATTACATTAACCACTCATATATCCCTAATACTAAAATAAAGGGAAAAGCTCCATGGAGTGTGGATGTAATCTCGTTGCTAAAGAGAAAATTTAAAATCTTAACAAAAGATTGGCCCACAGATTTAAAATTAATTACTCGGTGAATCCAGAGTGGCCAAAGAGGCATCAGGCCCAGTAGATTTAACCACTACTACTATTAGGAGACTATTAAATGTCCTGTCACCTGTGAGCTGGCTCCAGCAAGAGGCATGGATTGCATCCCATGATGCTGACAAAACTATCAGTAAGTTGGTCTAAGTCTACAGGATGGAAACACTAAAGTGATTCGGAATGGACCAAACTTTTCTAAAATGGTGAAGCTTCATGAAAAAACATAGGTCAAAGCCAACACAGAGACAGATTGTGACCCTAACACCACTAGCTAAGTGGGGGTGGCAGGCAGTGAGGACCTAGGAACATTGTGCCTGAGCTGGCATAATGCCTCCAGCACAGCAGGGAGAACATGGCCACTGAATCACTTTTTTGAAAGAGTGCAACTTGCTCCCTCACCCTCACATGCAGCAAGCCCTGCTGGCTGAAGCATGGAAGGGGAATATATCCCTTTCCCCTCTCCGCCCATTTAGGGAGTCTTTTGCCAGTAGTGACACTACACTTATAAAATCCTTGTGTTCACTGGGATTGTGCCTACCCCCTGCAAAAGGAGGAATAAGACCTCTTATACTCTGCTCCCAATTGTACTCCCACACAGAACCAGGCATCATTTGACACACAGTATGCTCTTGGGCAGACAGGGCTATAAAGATGACGAATATGCCGGGAATATAGTATGTTTAGCTAATGATCCCCTATCTTCTAACTAAGTAGAGCACGGTAAACTTTGCTTGTTTGTTTTTTAGACAAACGGAAACCCAAAAGTAAATCTGAAATGTCCCCTCCCCTCAAAACGAGCTCTCTCAAATGTTCATTTGTATTGAGTTAGCAATTTGAAAGGCTGTGTTTCCCAGAGTATAAACATTACATGCCTGGGCAGGGAGCATGCTGAGGTTACCCCAGAAATCCTTTGAACATGTTTAGAGGGAAAGAGCTAATTGGGAGGCTGAGGTGCTGCTGTATTACCTGTTTAAACAAAAACAGGGAGGGTTTGCAGGATGACTCAGAGGTAGAAGAGGTGTCTGAACTCATTATTAATATGCAGTCTGGGGAATTCTAAACTCTTACATTCTTGTGGTTATTCTAATTTATAAAATGATAGATGGATTCTGGTGCTGTGGCATTACTGGATTTACATCATATAAACAAAATTTGTCCATTTCAGGAACAATACACAGTTGGCTTCCCAATAAAAGAAACTTCTTCGATATCTGCAAACAAGAAGCTTCATAGTTAAGTTTGTCCATTGTGGGTCTTTTATTAGCATAGCCTTCTATCTGTGTAAACCTAACACAATTATCTCACTGGCCTACAAAGCTTTTGGCAAAGTCTTTTGCAAATCAGGCATATAGAGACCTAAAAGTTATGTTCATAATATGAGGAAGGGTCATGCATTGTCCACAATAAGATGAAAACTAGACTAAAGGTAAAATTTTCAGAACTGCCTAAGTGACTAAGAAACCCACTAGGACTTAAGTTTACGTCACTGAGGCAGTTTTGAAAATGTTGCGTTTAATTCCCACTGAAGATGAAGCCCCAGCTGGCCTCAAACAGAACTTTAATGGAGTTCTGCTTTAATAGTTGTATAGACTTACTGTTTCATCATTTACACAGTGTATACAAAATTCACTCCTAAAACTCCAGCTACCTGACAAAAATATGGGCACAGAAGACTTAACTGTATCCACATGGTCTGGGACTACCCATCTTCTGGATCAAAGGATTCAAAACCTTCCTGCTTGCTTTTACTAGCCATGAGAGGTATAGGTCCATAACTCAAAAATCACAAACTGATGTTCACCCAGTAATTCCAGAACCTCATGTAGCAAAACTTCCTAGAATGCCCCTCAAGGCATGGATCTGCTCTCTAAAATAGCAGTCAATTTGGCACAAATATAATTAATCTTCTCCCTGAAGGATGTGGAAAATTCCCTGCAGCACAAAAGATCTGATTAGGTTTCTGAGCCAAGGAACCAGAATTTACCAGGCTGTCAACTATTTCGAACAGTACCATGAAATGTGATTTCATGGATGCAGTGGAGAAGAAAATGTTCTTCTCCTGAAGCATTATTGGTGAGATCTGCAAAATGCCATAGTGAATGCCTAACGAGCCCACCTATAAATGCCAAGCACTCTTATTTCATGTCATTGGGTTTCTTTTGCCCTTTTGGTGTCCATGTGGGTTTGTTGATGTTTGGTATTACTGAATTGTAACATGTTGGAATATGTAATGTTGCAAGGGGGAAGGATGGAAGGAAAAACAGTACAAATCTTAATTTAAAAAAATCACAGCAATTACTCCCATGTGTCACTACTATTCGACTCTTCATTCATTGCCCAGTGAGAAAAGTAGCAGCTCAAGTACTTAACAGAGACAATGTTTTTCACTAAAATTGTGGAAAATGTGACAGTCACCGCCACAACATCCAAACGTTACGTTTGTAGTGTAAGATAGATGTGGGTTTTTAGTCTCTTACCTTTATGGTCCCGGCAGAAGTTAGTGTAGAAGGTCTCCCTGCGCAAGATGATCTCCTGTGCAACGATTCCATAGCTGTATACATCACCTTTCTGAGACACATCAGCATGACGAAGGTGTTCAGGAGCTGTCCACAGATCTGAGCAGCCAGAAGAGGTAGATATATATATATAGAGAAAGAGAGAGAGAGAGAGATGAAACTGATTTTTGTGAGCTTCTTCAGAACCTCATCCCCTTCGCATTGTTTTAATTTTATCTTTTTACTATTGTTATCCCCACCCCCACTAGAGCTTGGTATTGTTTAGATATTTGTTCAGCTATTGTGTGGAAGGGCCAACTTCAATACACACTGGATAACTGACTACCAGATATGCTTAGGTTCAAACACAAGTTGTTGAGCCGGATGCAGGAATTACTGGGTGAGGTTCTATGACCTGTGTTTTGCAGAAGGTCAGATTGGATGGTCATAAGGTCCTTGCTGGCCTTAAATTCCATGAACCTATGAAAATAATCCCCAAATGTTTTTGAGGCTGACAACATCATTGTGTCATAACATCTGTGGCTGTATAACAATATACATATGTATTTCTTGTACACCAGTCACGATATCTAGACATTGTGGTGTTATTCTGTTGTGGCAACCTACCATGACATGTTGATATTGTATCATAATGTAAAGCAAAATCATTCTATTAGCTGCAACACAGCAGTCAAAATGCAACCACCACCCTGTTGTGATGAAATAACTTTGTTTCAAGGGATGAATTCTAACACCCAGAAATTCTCAGTATGCTTGTAACAACATTTCCCCCTGAGCTACCAGAGAAAGAAGTGAAACCTGTTACTAATAAAAAAATAAGAACATAAGAACGACCATACTAGGTCAGACCAAAGGTCCATCTAGCCCAGTATCCTGTCTTCCAACAGTGGCCAATGACAGATGCCCCAGAGGGAATGAACAGAACAGGTAATCACCAAGTGATCCATCCCCTGTCGCCCATTCCCAGCTTCTGGCAAACAGAGACTAGGGACACCATCCCTGCCTATCCTGGCTAATAGCCATTGACGGACCTATCCTCCATGAATTTATCTAGTTCTTTTTTAAACCCTTTTATAGTCTTGGCCTGCACAATATCCTCTTGCATGGAGTTCCACAGGTTGACTGTGTGTTGTGTGAAAAAATCCTTCCTTTTTTTGTTTTAAACCAGCTGCCTATTAATTTCATTTGGTGATCCCTAGTTCTTGTGTTATGAGGAGGAGTAAATAACACTTCCTTATTTACATTCTCCACACCAGTCATGATTTTATAGACCTCTATCATATCTCCTCTTAAGTCATCTCTTTTCCAAGCTGAAAAGTCCCAGTCTTATTAATCGCTCCTCATATGGAAGCTGTTCCATACCCCTAATCATTTTTGTTGCCAATAATTTCAATAAAATGAATATAAATATGAAATGTGACAATGAGAAAAACCTGAGCAGGAGGAATGTAACATTTACATTCAGTGCACTTTTCCTAGCCACGAATTTTCCATATTCCTACCTCTATTACTACAAATGTTTGTGTGTGAATCTAAGAACTTTCTCTTGCAATTCCAGCCCCAGGTTCTCTTCTGTCCACATATCACAGAGATGATACAATATGTGTTTATGACATTCCAGCTGGTAATCATACAAAATGATTCCAGAGTCACAATTTCAGGTTTATATCTTCACTCAAAAATCAAGTGGGAGGAGAAGATAGGTGGGGAGAAGAGAGGAATGGTTATTTATACAGAAATACCCCATGATGATTAGCAGAAATAGAAAAAAGGTGATGAAAAAATCAGTGAAAGCTATAATTTACTGACACTCCATCTAAGGAATATAATATATTAAGAATCTCTTTAGAGAATTATATAAAAATGTAAAAATTATGTAAATTTATGTAAAATGACATGTTAATATTTGAATTACATCATAGTACATCACAAGATATTGTGATATTTCATGCAGACACTCCACTGGACAGTGGGGTGGGAGGAAGTATTGTTTCATATTCTCTGTGTATATATAAAGTCTGCTGCAGTTTCCACGGTATACATCTGATGAAGTGAGCTGTAGCACACGAAAGCTCATGCTCAAATAAATTGGTTAGTCTCTAAGGTGCTACAAGTACTCCTTTTCTTTTTGCGAATACAGACTAACACGGCTGTTACTCTGAAACCTGAATAATATCATGGTGTACCTAGCCTCTTTTCTGCCCTGTCACACAATCTCATTGCTATTGGTGTGTCAGAGTGACTCTCTCCTTTGAGAGGGAGCAGGATCCAGTGCACTGTAACTGATCAGCTGCTTCCATATTGGGTTTCAGAGGGGGCAGTAAGGCTCTAGGGAAAGAGAGAAAGGGCAGGTGAGAGCTGCCTGAGAAAGAAAGGAGAGACCAAGAAACAGATAGGAGCAGCAAAGGAGAGTTGTTGGAGACAGAGAGCAGCAGAGGAGAGCTGGCAAGAGTTACTGGGAGAGAGCTACAGGAGACTTGGAGGGTGGGGGGAAAGATGGTGATACCGAGCTGGTACCGAGGGCTGTTGGGAAGACCTGAAGTTGAAGAAAGTTGTTAGTGAGCCCTGCCAAGTTGCAGGAGAGCTTGTACAAAAGCTCCAGGGCAAAAAGGAAAAATCAACTTGGTCAGGGAAAGCTGAGAACAAAACAAAAGGGCTGATGCCAATTTTTAAAAAGGGCTCCAGAGGTGACCCTGACAACTACAGGCCAGTAAACTTCACTTCAGAATCGGGCAAATCGGATGAAACTATCGTAAAGAACAAAATTTTTCAGACACATACATGAACATAATTTGTTGGGAAATAGTCAACATGTTTTTTGTAAAGGGAAATCATGCCTCACCAATCTACTAGAATTCTTTGAGCGGGTCAATAAGCGTGCGGACAAAGGAGATCCAGTGGATATAGTTTATTTAGATTTTCAGAAAGCCTTTGACAAGATCCCTCACCAAAGGCTCTTAAGCAAAATAAGCAGTCATGGGATAAGAGGTAAGGTTGTCTCATGGATAGGTAACTGGTTAAAAGATAGGAAACAAAGGGTAGGAATAAATGGTCAGTTTTCAGAATGGAGAGAGATAAACAGTGGTGTCCCCCAGGGATTTGTACTGGGCCCAGTCCTATTTAACATATTCACAAATGATCTGGAAAAAAGTAAACAGTAAGGTGGCAAAATCTGCAGATGATACAAAACTACTCAAGATAGTTAAGTCCCAGGCAGACTGCAAAGAGCAGCAAAAGGATCTCACAAAACTGGGTCACTGGGGAACAAAATGGCAGATGAAATTTAATGTTGATAAATGCAAATTAATGCACATTGGAAAACATAATCCTAACTATACATATACAATGATGGGGTCTAAATTAGCTGTTACCACTCAAGAAAGAGATCTTGGAGTCATTGTGGATAGGTCTCTGAAATCATCCACTCAATGTGCAGCGGCAGTCAAAAAAGTGAACAGAATGTTGGGAATCATCAAGAAAGGGATAGATAATAAGGCAGAAAATATCTTATTGCCTCTGTATAAATCCATGGTACGCCCACACCTTGAATACTGGGTGCAGATGTGGTCGCCCCATCTCAAAAAGATATATTGGAATTGGAAAAGGTTCAGAAAAGGGCAACCAAAAATGATTTGGCGTATAGAACGGCTTCCGTATGAGGAGAGATTAATAAGACTGGGACTTTTCAGTTTGGAAAAGAGGCGACTAAGGGGGGATATGACAGAGGTCTATAAAATCATGAATGTTATAGAGAGAGTAAATAAGGAAGTGTTATTTACTCCTTCTTATAATACAAGAACAAGGGGCCACCAAAAGAAATTAATAGGTAGCAAGCTTAAAACAAACACGAGAAAGTATTTTTTCATGCAACGCACTGTCAACCTCTGGAACTCCTTGCCAGAGGGTGTTGTGAAGGCCAGTACTATAACAGGGTTCAAAAGGGAGCTAGATAGATTCATGGAAGATACGTCCATCAGTGGCTATTAGCCAGGGTTTGTTTTTTAAATGAACACTGTAGTTAATCTTTTAAATGTAAATATTTCAATGGCTGTTAGTCAGGATGGGCAGGAATGGTGTCCCTAGCCTCTGTTTGCCAGAAGCTGGGATTGGGTGACAAGGCATGGATCACTTGATGATAACCTGTCTGTTCATTCCCTTTGGGGCACCTGCCATTGGACACTGTCAGAGGACAGGATACTGGGCTTGATGGACGTTTGGTCTGACCCAGTATGGCCGTTCTTATGTTCTTATGCTGGAGTGTGGATCTCAGGAGCAGAGGTAGGACTCACAAACAAGGAGGCCTGGGGAACTGGAACATTGTGCGGAGCCCTCTTGTACCAGGCCTGAATGGAGGGCTGCAGGAAGCTGAGCCCAGAAACAAGAGGGTTGAACCTGGAGGGATGTTCCTTAAGCAGGATAGGACTTACAGGCAGGAAGGCCTGGGAAGTAGAACTCTGCAGTGAGCTCTCTTGAGGAAGACCTGACTTGGGAAACTCTGGTACCAGAGTTGTGGTAGAAAAGCAACTCTGATAACTCTCCAGGATATGGCCTGGAGAGTGGGCCCTGGAACAAGGGCAAAGGAACTGTGAACAGAGTGGTGACTGACTCTTGGGTGGGTGACGTGGAAATGACATCACTGAAGAGCACATGAAAAACTGTTTCGTTTATACCTGCTGTACCTTTGGATTTGGAGAGAATGGTTTTATCAGGAGGGTTATGTAGATTACTGAATGTGTACACGAATACATTATGCCTACACGTGGGCTTTTGAATTGGACATTGAGAGAGACTGTGTTGTTTTTTTTATGGCTGGACCAGGGAACTAGTGCTGCAGTCTGCCACAGGGGGACACTTTAGCTGGGGCCGCCCTGCACATGCTGTAAGAGAGAGCCTTTTCCTTGCAGTCCCTGCCAACCTTCCTGTCTTTCCCTCTCACAAACTCCCTGTGCTTTTCAAATATCAGTTGAAAATATCTTTTTTCTCTCTCTTCTTTTTACCACTTGTTTTCTTTTTCCTTCTTCCATTACTGCTCTCTATGATTGTATTATTTAACTCAGTAAAATGTTTTCAGACACAGTTTGTATAAAAGATGCTATACAAAATAAAGTTGTATTGCATGTCATGCATTCATTTCTCTGTACTCAGTACATCTAATGCATAATAGATCACAGGATATCATGTAGCTTTCTAGAGAGTAAACATTAAAAAGTCTCCGTGGACTAAGAAAATCTAATTTTCCTCAACATTATAGTGAATATGTGTTAGACAAACCAGTAAGTGTACTTTTGAATAGAAACATACATATTGCTTTCACTTAAGCCTATTTTCCCACATGCTGTATTTTGGCCTAATAGTCCCACAATCTTATTCCAGGGCTGGGAAGAAGATGAGAAGAGTTGGGATTGTGACTATTTTTGCATACCTTTCCTTGGAGGAAGAATGGAATTGCAGCCAAAATCAGTGATCTTTACCACCATGCGACTGTCCACTACACAGTTTGTGGACTTGAGGCGGCCATGGACCTCAGTTTTGCTTGAGTGTAGGTAGGACATTCCCTGTGAGAAAAAGAGAGAGCGAGACTGTATGTGACTTGATTGTTACCAAAATTAGTAGGAATTTGAAGGTTCATCATAAAATATATTTAGGTACTTACATGGCCCTCATCAGCATAGTATGTGAGCATGTCACAATTATTAAAGAATTTTATCCTCACTACACCCTTATGAGGTAGGGAATTATTTTACCAAAGGGGATTTTCCAAGGTCAAATTAGATGTCTGTGGTGGAGCTCAGAAATGAAGCTAGGTCTCTAGAATTCCAGGCCAGTGCCTTAACCAGACTATCCTTCTTTCCAGCTCACACTGTGTGATACTGTGATGTGCTTCTTGACAGTGCTAGATCGCAACAACTGCTTTTATGGTGTTTTCAGTAAAGATTACAGATTTGTATGAGTATTTTACAACCCTAAAAAATGTGGCTGGGGAAATGCTCCAGTTTTTTATTTAGTAAAGAATGAGCACCTTCACTAAATGAAAAATCCCCATTAACTGACAAAAGTATTAGGGTTGTAACCTTTCTGTAAGACATCAATCTACAACTGGGACTCGTAATCAGCCACACTTGAGCAGGTTTGAGTCTCTGAAGCAGAGGGCAGCTGAAGGATCAATGCAGAGATTGCAGGATGACGTTCTGTGGCCTACGTAATGCAGAAGGCCCGATTAGATGATCATAAAGGTCCTTTCTGATCTTACGATTTATAAATCTACATACACTAGTCAATACATAATACCTGCAGCCTGTGGGCTAATTTCAGAGGTGAATCTTCCAGTTCCCTCAGCATGCAGGTTATGCTAATTCAGATATTTTTAGACTCCAGCTTCCTGAACTCTCTGTCTCTGACACACATGCTTGCAGACATGTAATCTGCACTCCTTTACTCATCACTTCTGAATTTGGCCCACTTAGTCTAGGGGAGTCAAGGATGGCATATCTGATATGTCAAGGAGCTGGAAGAGCGATGTAGTAGGAGCAACAACTGGTAGGTAGGTGTAAGTTTAAGCAGGCGGTGTACAATTTACACCTATTTACAGTCTCCTATTAGTTGTTTTTCCTTCTACACTTCTCTCTTCCAGCCCTTTGATATGTAAAATGCAATCTGTATGCTGAGGAGGCTAGAAGGTCTATATGACCCCAGTTTGGAACCCCTCTGAATTTGGCCCCATAACTTTAAACACACATATGCAAATGTCATCCTCAAGGATGACAGATGATAATCATGAATCTGGATTATACAAATTGAGTGATCATAATCATAGGGTGTGACATGCCGCTCTTTCACAAGAGAGAACTGTGCTTTGCTTATAGTAGGGGAAGAGTCAAATAGTGTTGTGAAACAGCAGAGGTATATTTGAACCCCAACCCTAGGGGGATACAAGCATCCCTAAAAATGTGGTTGGAAATGGTTATGTTGTGCATACATATATCATGCTGGAACCTGTGGACACTATGTAATAATGTGTGTCCAAAGGAAACACTTCTTAACACTGCTGCTACTCCCATGGAACCCTGCTGCCACCACCTAGTTTAGAGAGCCTACAACAGCAGGCCCTTCTGCAAGCTTCAGGGCCCACTTTCTGCTGCTACATCTCGTGTGCACTCCTGCTGACTCCAACCCAGGGAGCAAACCCACTAGAGCAGAAACTCCTCACCACTTTTGGCCTCCTATGAGATGATTCAATGATACTGTGGTCTACATGTGACAGAATTCTCTCATCTTCAAGTTGAGGAGCTGGTGTGTCTGAGAAGGCTTTCTCCTCCGCAGCCATCCTTTTTACTGGGGAAGCGGGTTTGGAAGCAGAAAGCCTGGTAAGCACCCAGGTGAAAATTTCAAAATTGCCTAAGTGAGTCAGGATCACAAATCCCATTGACTTCCAGTGAGGTTTGTGCTCCTGTATCTCTTAAGGACAAATCAATGGGAGTTAGATGGCTTGGCACTTTTGAAAATCCCAGTAGGTGCCTCTCTGTATCTTTAGGCAACAAAATAACTTTTCAAATATAGCCCCAAGGCACTTTTGAAAATCTCATCCTTCAGTTTTAATTCTGACCAAGCCCTTTCAACAGGGCCATTTTTCTGGTATGGTACAAAACCATTGTATTCAGCTGTACAATTTCTTTCAACTTATTTAACAATGCCCTCTTGTTTAACAAGCAACAGCTTGCAACAGCAACGTGGGCCCTTGTGCCCATAAGGCTCAATTACTGTAATTCCTTTGTATCATGGCTGTTGTCAGGTCTTTTCTGTCACTTGCACCTAGTACAGAATACAGATATGCCAGTCCTGGGGTCCTGATATATCTGCTGAAGAAGGTGCCAGTCCTTCGACGTGTCAGCAGTCACTGGCTCAAAACTACCTCTGCTGCTGGAGCCTGCACTGTCTCCTCCACATTGCCAGGGGCTGCTACAGTGGCTCTCTTTCTGGCTGCAGCTAGCAGGAAATCAATGAAGATAGCACCAGCTGCCCTGCACAGTAACAATGAGCTGCTATAGGAATCAGCCCCTGCACCAGCTCTCAAGGTCAGCTGAGGAGCATGGGAAGCAGAAGGCAGAATTCATAGGTTGGGTAGCAGTCAGGGAGGCAGGAACTGGGGTGCAGGGGAACAAGAGGTGGTGATGGAGGGCGCACGGCTGCAAGAACTGGGTGTTGGATTATTGAACTGCAGGAAGTAGCAGTTGGGTCTGAGGGATGCAGGAGCTGGGTATTGAGGGAAATGGGAGCTGGAAGGCAGTGAAACAGGAGACGGATATAAGCAGAGAAGGAGTTGTTGGGATAAAAGTAGGAAATTGTGTGTGTGCATGAGGGTCAGGTAAGGTGATGACAGCAGAGTGGTGTATGGTAATCACTAGGCCACACCATAGGCCGCCATTACAATACCATTTCCAAATTGCAAATAACCTTATGTGTTTAGGAGGACTCCTCAGAGAACTTTTCTGAATCATCTTGACTGGTTCAAATAACATCAGGTGATATGCCACAGAAAGGGCCTCGTACCCCTTTTATTCTTGGCTCCCATATCCATTTACAAATAGTACAGTGGCTAGCAGGTAGTCTGTGAAATCCTGGCCCCATTGAAGTCAACAAGAATTTTGCCAGAGACTTCATTGAAGCCAGTATTCGCCCTCTATCTCAGTGTATGATCTCATCAAATCTGATACTCTCATCAGGGCCAGGCTTGGTCAGTGCCTGGAAGGGAGTCCTATAAAGATTAACTGCAAAGGATTAAGAAAACTTGCTTGTAAGATTCCCGAAGAGAGGGAAGCATGTCCACAGTTGTTATTTAAAAGAGCTCTTAATGCTGAAGGTTAACTGAATGTGAAATAGTCATTAACAGGACCAACAAACTGTGACAATTTGGATTAAGGAGATTTTAATAAAGAGTGCGATTTTCATTATCACATTGAAACAGACATAGCAGAATCATTCATCACAGAGACCACATCTGAGCTGAGGCATGTAGGGAAATGGGAGGACTGGCCAGGAATGGTGGTAGGATTTTGATGGAGCAGTAAGAAAGGTAAGGGCATAGATTATCTAAATCTGTGTGTGAAATTCTTGGGCCCCCATTTCACTAAAAATAAAACAAATACATATTTAATTTAAAAAACTCTTGTTTTACTACCCATCTCAACTCTCCACCTTCCAAAAATGCAAATACAGTAAAAGCTTTGTTATCTGGCATGTTAGGGGAATGGGGGGTGCTGGTAAGTCAAAAATTCCAGTTAACTAAGAGGGAGGGAGTTTGGGTGCAGGAGGGGGTCCAGGGCTGGGGGTTGGGATGCGGGAGGGAGTGCAGGGCGCAGGCTCTGGGAGGGAGCTTGGGTGCAGGAGGGGGCTCGAGCATAGGTGCCAACTCCATGGGTGCTCCAGGGTTGAAACACCCATGGAGAAAAAATTAGCTGGTGTTTAGCACCCATCAGCAAAGCTCCATCCCTCCCCCCCACTCCTGCTGGCGGCCCCCACCAATCAACTCCTCCCCCGTCCTCCCAGCACCTCCTGAACGCTGCGGATCAGCTGTTCAGTGGCAGTGGTGTGCAGGAGGCACCAGGAGGGTGGGGGAGGAGCGGGGATGGGGCACGCTCGGGAGCCGGGGGTGGAAAGAGGCAGGATGGGGTGGAGCGGGGCATGAAGGGGTGGAAGTGGGGGCATGGCCAGGGGCACAGCGGGGGCGGGAAGAGGTGGGCCAGGGGTGGGCCAATGAGAGCTGTGGAGCCAGTGGGCGGGACGGGGGCAGCGCACAGAGCCGCCTTGCCGTTCCTCTGCCTAGGAGGAGCCGGGATGTGTCACTGCTTCCAGGGAGCCACACGGAGCCAGGTAGGGAGCCTGCTGGTCCCATACCAACCGGACTATAAACCGGACTTTCAATAAAAATCAGAAATGCCAGTTTATAGAGCTTTCCGGCTGGTAAAGTGCCGGATAACACAGCTTTTACAGTACGTAGTGAAGGTTACTTAAAATCAGCCTTGATTTCACTGCAGGATTAATTTCTTCCCATGCTAATTTGCCCTAACTTCCTGAAATGGTTACACCTAGTACTAGTAGTGAGTTTTACCATGAACATAAGATTGGCCATACTGGGTCAGACCCAAGGTCCATATAGCTCAATATCCTGTCTTTCGACAGTGGCCAATGCCAGGTGCCCCAGAGGGATTGAACAGAACAGGTAATCAAGTGACCCATCCCCTGTCGCCCATTCTCAGCTTCTGGCAAACAGAGGCTAGGGACACCATCCCTGCCCATCCTGGCTAATAGCCATTGAAAGATTTACATTTAAAAGATTAACTACAGTGTTCATTTAAAAAACAAACCCTATTCTGTTGTTTTTGATACAAGATGGTGCGAGTCTACCATTTTGAACAAACGCTGGAGTTTTCCTTTAAGCAGCTTGCCCAACCCCACACACTGTAAATCAGCAGAAGAGCTAGGAATAGAACCTAGGGCTCCAAGTGCCTAAATCCCTTCTCTAGCTGCTGGACCACACCTTTTCTCGTGGTAGCCTAAAGCATATATTATGTTAGGCCCTGTCACCTATAGCTACCCACTATGTAAGTTTCATAGCATGTGGACAGGTTTATAAATGCTTCAGTGCCACCGATTCACTTACCTTGGCAATATCATACATGACAGAGATTTTAAACTCCCAGTCCATGAAGGTGCCATCTGGGTAGGAGATCTTATCATTTAAGACATCCTGGGAGGACAAGAAGGAGACAAAGGGGCTAACCTATAGCAAGGAAACAGCCAGGGAAGGCAAGGCGTCTCTGTGTAATGTTAACAAAGCTCTGAATCACGCAGCCTTTTGGCCAGTGACTAAAAAGGGGTTCCTCTCTGTTTTACTTAAGAAGTACATAAATTATGACAGACACTGGGTTACTTGGAGGCTAGGGAATGGAATATAAATTTTTCCTACACAGGAACTACAAAAAGGTGAGAACCTAACTTCTAGCCACTGTAACAAGGAGTCCAGTGGCACCTTAAAGACTAACAGATTTATTTGGACATAAGCTTTCATGGGTAAAATACCCACTTCTTCAGATGCATGGAGTGAAAATTACAGATGCAGGCATTGTATGCTGACACATGAAGAGAAGGGAGTTACCTCACAAGTGGAGAGGAAGATGATGTTTGTCTGTATCTGTGCGAGTTTTTTGTTAAGGTTGACGGATTTCCACTCCATACGGCTAAGTATATAATGCCTGCATCTGTAATTTTCACTCCATGCATCTGAAGTGGGTTTTTTACCCATGAAAGCTTATGTCCAAATAAATCTGTTAGTCTTTAAGGTGCCACCGGACTCCTTATTGTTTTTGTGGATACAGACTAACATGGCTACCCCCTGATACTTTCTAGTCACTGTGGTTTCCGGAGGCAAAAAATGAGCCTCTATGAATATGTTTGCCTATATGAACACTGCAAAGCCTAGCAAGACATTCTGACTTGTCTGTCACTGCATCCTTTAATTATGAGAGTGATCTAAAGCCCACTGAAGTCAGTGAGAGTTTTTCCACTGACTCAGGAGCAATGTCAGCTTACACCTGCTGAGGATCGACTCCAAGCAGGAGAAGGGAGAGGAGCAGAAGAGAAGTCAGTGAGATTACTTCATAGAAGTACTGAAGTAATATTACTGACTTCACTTCTGCTCCTCTCCCTTCTCCTGCCCTAGGACCCAGCCATCTGGCAGGTTAGCTTTTCCTTTTACAAACTGGTAAGAGGGGCTTGCACAGTTATTTACCCTCAATGATCCTCTCTCACAGTATTCAATCACCCCAAAGATCATCGTGTCCATCTTCACTGTGCCATAGAATTTTGTCAGGTTGTAATAGTCCATCTGGAAGAGCTAGAGCAAAAATAATGTATCCATTAAAAACATTGTGGGAGCCAAAATTAAGTCTGATGGTGTGAAGGGGCTCTCAATCCCAGACCCTGATATGATGTGTGGGTTCTCTGTGTGCAGGTGTGTGGAGAACCAAAGTGAGTGATCAGAGCCTTCTGATCTAGGAGATAAGGGTGGGGAGTGACTGTTGACTGTATTCCAAACTCCGCTGTCTCCATTATTGCCTCTGCAGTAGAACCTCACAGTTTCACACTCTGGACACGGATACCCATTATAAATGACTGAATGTTGCCAATTAGTTCATAAATGAACAAATAATAGAAATATGAGGATCCTGCATGATAGTATGTACTTTGTTCATTTACTTAGGCTATTGCAGTTTCATTAAAATTATTTATAATACTTTACAATGTATCTGTCCCTAATGTAAAAATGTACTTCATAATTTTTTAGAAAATATACTATTAAAGCCAAATTATGTAGGACATAACTCTGTGGAAGTTAATGGAGATGTATTTGTATACACCAGAGATGCATTTAGCCCTTAGTAATAGGAGATTTGACGACAACACTCCACTATTAAATGATTGGTATGAAGTGAGGAAAGAGAAAGCATCAGTTTTCCCACTGATTATAAAAATGTGGATTAACAAGGTTCTATCAGGTTCATGAGAGATCTCAGTCATCTTCAACGTCCAAGGCTTACAGTCCAGAATCAGAACTGTGCATAAGACCCCCCCATAACACACACAGAGGGACCCTCAGGCTGCAGTAGCCTGTGGGATGGACACACACATGGATTTGGTGGAATGAGTTCACTAATTAGTTTCATTCACTCTGTAGTGTCTAGCTGCTACATGAAACAGTTACCTTGTTCAGTTCTATCTTTTGTTTCTCTGTGAAATTCCCATCATGTCTGAGATCTTTCAGGATCACCACCTGGAAAGAAAAAAACAAACTGGGAGGAAACCATAGCAGCAGAACAACAACAATCCGTGCTCCCCTAAACTACTTCTGGTATTTGAGTATATCCTTATCCACTAATAAGTAATGGAGTTATATTATTTTTTACAAGATTTACCAAGTTGATAGTTCTGTTGTTCTGGAACAGACTCAGTGGCTGATCTTTCAAACCCTTCATTCACATGAGTGACCTTACTCAGGCAAAAAGTTCAGCTGACATTCAGGGGACTTCACACATAAATAAGAGTCCTCCTTTGCCCATCTAGTCCACTAATTTACCTCATGCCACATCAAAACAGACCAGTGATCTATTGTGTCCTGGATCCTGCCTTTTGCCATTCGGGACCAGGCCAGTGGTTCACTGAGTCCAACATTCTGCCTCTGGCAGTTGCTAATAAAAGGGGGCCTCAAAGGAAAATGAACGCCTCACCCCTTCCATTAACTTACCAGTTTTGCAAGGTTGGATGAGAATGGGGGTGGCATTGCTTCCTGTTCTCTAAAGAGAATCAACTGCCTTTCACAGAAGCCTCTCACTAAAGAAGGGAAGGGGAGCAGAGATGCTGTGGTCATTTTACCTTCTTGTCATATTTGGCTTGGCACTGTCTCTGGATTGTGTCACGCCTCTTGTCTTCATCAATCTGGGGAACAAAGAAGACTCATTAGCCAGCAATTATAAAATACCCCACCCTGGCAGGCACCAGACTGCAGAGAGAAAAATAATGCCAAACTATGCCATTGTCTGCATGGGTGTCTTTCTTTTTAGAGCCCAACTAAATCCCAGAACATGCAATCACCATTCATGCGACTCCCATATGCCGTCAGGGTCTCTTCCTCTGATCAGTACTATTGGCCTGTGTTTTACAGACAAATCAAGGATCAACTCCTTCTTGAAAAGGGATGTCATTTGTGATATGAATGGTGTGGGAATCCAATGGAAGAGCCTGGAAAGAAATACCCTGCCTATTTCACAGTTGTGCAAAGAACTTGTACTTGCTGTATTAAGTGGGGAAGTTACTGGGGATTAATCTCATTCCTCTTCTGCATAGTGCATAGAAGGTGAAAAGACAGTGAACCAGTTTTAACAGATACTTCTACCACTGTCAGAGCCCAAGCAGTAGTCTTGATAGTGCAGAGACTCTGAACCCCCCAACCCTCCCTCCATGGGGATATCTTGTCTCTCCTACCTTCAGACTGACGTGGCTTGTCTCATTGGTCTCCAGAGGCAGGATCTTGTCAGGTGGTATGTGAGACCATTTCTTCTGCCGAAGTGCAATATCTCTCCTGTATTTCCTGTGAAATAAGCGAACCTGTTTAAGATCATCCTATCAAACAACTGGAATCCATACTGCTGAGTGCAGTGGGGAATCTTGGAGTACTAGAGAGAATTCTGCACACCAGCTCCTGTACTCTCTTCTTCATGCATTCCTGGAGAGCTTGCTCCTACAGATCCCAGCTTTGAGGCCTGGAAGGGAGAAATACCCTCTCCATCACATACTCCTTTTTCCCCTGACCCTAGGGAAATCTGGGCTCTCTGAGGTTTCAGCACTATAGATTTGAAGGGGTCAATGCAGAAGACGAATTGCTGGCAGGTTGCTGCCGAATTCTTCACATTCACACACAGGGGAACACAATGCAGAATGAATCTGCGATAGTTTATACTGTTTACTTTTCTATGCTATTGAACATGCTCTGAGGGCAATCCCAGAGGCAAACATGGATCAGATGAGCCCCTGGCAGCAAGGCTCTTGCAGAAATAAGTTGTACTAGCCAGGAAAAGCAGGAAGCCAGTGAGGAGGCAGCAGAATGAAGTAAGGTGACTTCTTGTAGAAGGCCTTTGCCTCTGGCAGATTTCCTGATTATATCAGGGAATAATCCTTGGAATTGAGGCATGGAATCCCCTGTCTTTTCTGTAGGAATGTCCTCCCTCAACAGAAGAATAATAAGAAAACTGTGAAACAGGAAAACAATTCATTGGAATTTCTATTCTTCGATGCAGGTTACTCCTGTATAAAAAACATGGGCACCACAGATTGGTTAGTGGAATGCTGGCAAATCCTGGACAGTGATTGACTGCTGGAGAATGCTCTGGAACACTGAAGATCCTAGAATGCTGACTGACATAAATATTTTATGTTTCTAACATATTTTAACTACCATTGCTAAGGGGAAAGGGAGGAAGTGTCCATTTTTAGATGTAAATGTTTTTTCTGATTTTAGTCTGAAATGTTTAGTTGCATTTGAACCATCATAATTTGCCAGTAGGAGCACCAGTTAAAGTGCTAGACAGTTAGGAGATCATGGGGCTCTAGTTATATGGGTCTCCCTGTATCTCTCCTGAATTCCCCACATGAAGCTCTAACAGCATTCAAGAACAGACAGATTTCATAAGGGAGAAATTTCAAGATGGTTAGGAAAACATTAAATTGTGGAAAATTCCCATTTCATAATCTTAACTAGAAAATTCTATAAACTATCAATAAATAAGCCAAATAATCCCAATAGAAAAGAAATCAATTTTACTTGTTAGTATCTAAGCACTTATTGGACTGGAATGACATGTCCAATGTCTAATACTGGTTTTGTGTTTTTTGAGGACTCTGGATTGATTTGTTTACTTGGAAGTCAGAACTACCCAGAAAAGTGTGGGATAGTTTAAGAACTCCACACACTGGGTGATATGTAAGGAATGATTTGAGCTCTTGTTCATTTTCTTGCCTAATGGATTCTGAGGAGTATTATTATCATCTATCAAGAGATGAGATTTACTAGAGCAGGAAATCACTGCACAATTGAAACTCGGGTCAGAAGACCTCAGTTTAGGTAAGCCGCTTGTGGAGCCTGGCTATATTGATGGGAAGAGCAAAATTGGTATCAGTTGTAAACAGTCATTAATCAGGTCATTAACTGGCTGACAAAAGAGAATGACATTGTCAGGTCTGTCTTCTTCCTTGAGAATTATGAGGTGATCCACTGCATCATCTGAATTAGCTAGGACTGTGAAGTTTGGTAACATTTCTACATGCAAAGTGTAAATTTTTTGGAAAAAATAGCAAGAATTGATTCTGAGGAATCCCCAAGAATTTCTTACTGCATTGGAGGCTCTCGGAGACCACAGTGATGGGTGTGGCATAAAACTCTAAATAGAATTCAATGATTAATTATCTTTGCCATCAGTAGATTCATTGGAATAGATTCAGGAGGGGTAACAGCACCTTTGGCAGAAGTACAAAGTGTCTGGAAATAGCCTTTTGTCAAATTTCTGCTAGCTCTTCAACAAATAAACAAATACAGATTAACTTTGTCTGTCAGTCTGTTGACATGTTTGTCCTTAGGTTTGGGAACAATGAACTCTTCTGTTTCTTGGGTACAGCTGGGCATCCAAGTGTGGACTGACTACATCAACTTGGATTCTTACCTCATGGAGAGTGTTAACTAGCAAAGAGAACACATCAGGGCAAAATGACAATGGTTAAAGTGTGTTACAAATCAGGTGTTCAAAGACAACAAGAAAATTGGATTCGTATGAAGTCCTTTGATCTGTGGAAAAGGAATCATCTGAGCTACTAAAGGTGGAAGGTCCAGGTAAAATATACATCTCTGAAACCGCTGAAAACGACGGTTCTGAGTCTTATGAATATGAGAGATATATAGATGCACTGGAAATGGGTTGAATTTTTTCTCTGAGAGGATCCTAGAGTGGGTTTCAGTTTCTATTTATCTGATTTTTTCCATCATGATAGAAGCTTTACCACAATCTAGTCAGAAAATTTTAGCCATAGAAAAAGTGAGTGAACTAGCTGCAATGAAGCAGGACAAGTCTGGGAAAATAGTAAGAGACAAAGTTGATCTAGACACTGTGGTGCCAAAACTTTCTGGTATTTTTATTTGTGCAATGACACAAGATTGAGTCATCCTTCCAGGAAGAACTGTTGGAAGTCACCAAAAGGGTAAAGAAACATAGTAGAGTAATAGAAAGGACTAAGTGTGATCAATAAGTGAGAAAAAATCTGAAGGTTGGCCTTGTCCTCACAAAGACACTTGCTAAGTTTGTGTGTGTATGCAAAGCAGTGCTTTCTAGGGGGTGGAATAGGCCTGACCACCTGTCACGTCTACCACCTGAACAACTGGATCATTTCTCAAAGCAGGGAGTGCTGAATGCAGGTGCCATGCGTGGTGTCTACAATAGAGTGGCACACACAGAGAGAGAGAAGCCAGCAAGAGCCTTGCCAATGGGTAGGAGATAATTGGACATATTTTCAAGGAGCGATCAAACAACCCATGCCCAGAAGTACCAAATGGAGGAGAAAAGAAACATGAGGCTGATACCTCAACACCAGCAGAGCGATGATCACAACCAACACCACGGTCCCTGTGAGTGCAAAGACAGCGATAGTCAGGATGTGCGGGCCTGCAAAGGAGGGAAATTGGAAAATATACAACCTTAGTGAGAACACTGAACACATTGTATTAAAAAATACATACCCAGGGCCTGATGCAAAGCCCGTTGAAATCAGTGGAAGATTGCCTCCAGTTAGGAAGGCAGAACATCAGGTCATCAATAAATAAATCCGTCAAGCAGATATGCATGAGGAGTCATGAGGTGTCTTGTCTCCCTGCCAACCCCCTGAAACATGTGTCTCACTTGTTGAAGACTGCACGATTCCAAACTCACATTTTAATAATGTGACTGGGTGATGTTTGAAATGGGAGTATTAGAGCACCAGTTTTGTTCTTGAGGCTATGCTACCCTCTAGTGGCTACTGACACTATAGCATGCTAAACAGTATTCCACCACGAATTAATATTGTGTATTCTTCCTAAAGAACCAGAATGAAATTTATGTTGGAGTGTATAGACCCATCCAGGGATTGGTAGGGTGGGCATTAACACTCTGAGCAATAGAAAAATCAAAGGTAAAAGCCCTAATTTCAAGGAATGTCATGGGAAGAGTAGCAGAATTGGATCAGCAGTTGCAAATTACAAATTAAAGTTGCCAAATTGCTATAAAAGGGTTGTGTTCTAGCTATTGAGTTTGGTTAGCTTGCTAGAGGAAAGAGCACATAGCTAGCTAAAAAAGTTTTGATAGGAGGTGGATGGTAACAGTGACTTAAACTTTGGCTATCTAAAGCGATTTTCTGTTTGCATATATTTGTTTGGAAACTGGCTGGAGGAAGCCTTTTTAAATTCTTGGCTTTGGAAAGTGTTTTTGTTTGTTTGTTTTGCCTAAGCTGCAAAAAATCTGGTTATATCAGAAGTTGGACTTCTAGATTTGCAAGTATTGGTCCCGTGCTTTACTATAGCCTGCTTGGCTGCTACAAATTGAAAATGGTAGTTCAGGATTAAGCATATACTAAGCTTAATAGCTTTGCATTTGTGTTTTCATAGACTTTTGGACGGTTCAGGCAGCCTATTTGTGGGGCTAAAACATATGATCTGGTCTCATTACACTGTTTCTACTATAGAGGAAACTAAACTGTGTAAAAACATCGGGTTTCCTACTTTGGGGCTATAAATGACTCCCTGAGGCATTTTCTTAAGGAGTTTGAGGGTGGTGGAAGAATGTAAATGAAAATACTACACTCCACGTAACATTTTACTGCAAATGGACTCAAAATTGGGGGGAAACAAATGAGTGGTACCTCATCTTAGCTACGTTTGCACCATAACACTTATCAACATAGACAGGTAGGACTTTAGCTTAATGTGCTAAGTAACTCTCATGCTAAATAATCAAAGTGCTCATTTGCTCTCTACTGGGCTTTTGGTGCCACTGTGTTCCACAAAACTCTGAATTCTAGTAGTCTGGATTTAAAATCTGATTGAATACAGAAGGAAATTCTGGTCACCAAGAGAAAGTGGTATGTCATGGTTCTGTGGTCCAGACTTGTCTTGGGTCACACAGAGGATCAGTAGAAAGCTATCAAGAACTGAAACACAGTCTGGGTCAAGCCAGTGGGAGCTAGGTTGAGCTGACTTTTACTGAGAGCCTCCCCTTGCTTGTTTCATTTGCAAAGAGTGAAACTGAATGCAGGTTAAGTTGAACAAGTGGAACTTCATTAAACCCTGTGCACTGCTCTCTCCCTGAGGCTGGAAGCAACTCAGACAAACTCCACCCATTCCCTGTCCCCTCCTGTGCTGTCAATAACAGTCCCCATCCCTTCAGGGAACATGGCTCCAGTTCCACTGATCACACTATACTGATGGCTGAGTTAGTATCAGCCTGTGATGGAGAGTCTGTCTCAACAGGACAAGGGAGAAGGGGTTAAAGTGGTTAGCTGGGCCAATTAACTGCCCAGGCTGCACCTGGAGGAGGAGCCAGAAAGCAGGGATTAATTAGAGTCAAGGCTTAGCTAGACAGGAACAGGAGCCGTCTGTATAAAGCCCAGAAGATGACAGCAGCTGGGGGCTGCAGGGAAGTAGTCTGCAGTCACTCCCTGGGAGAAGGGAGATATGTTTAGGACTGGAGAGTAGTCTACAGCTACTCCCTGGGAGGATGGAGTTTGGGCTGGCAAACCCATAGAGCCAGAAAGGTGGGAAAAGCAGCAAGGTATGGGATAGAGAAAACCCTAGCAGCTGATGGAAGGGCCCCTGATCTGGAACCCAGAGTAGAGGGCAGGACCAGTTTCCCCTGCCAGCCACTGGGGAAGTAGCGCAGACCAGGAGGCATGGAGCAGACTGCCTGGGACAATTTGTGTTAAAAGATTTTGATACCCTGGAAGGGGAAAACACTGAGTAACCTAGCTGGAGGGAAGCAGGAGCTCTTGAAGCAAGAGGGGGACTGTTGACAGATTGATGGGGTAGAACCAGTGGTGAGCTGGAGCTGGTTCGCGCAAACTGGTTGTTAAATTTTGAAGCAGTTTTAGAACCGGTTGTTAACCCGCTTCCCTGCAGGGGGCGCTGAGGCTTTGATGGGCTCCAGCCAGGAAGTAATGTAATTCCTCCTCCGGCCACCGGGGGCGCTGCGCTGCGGGAGCCATGTGGGCTGCCGCCTGGCCCTGGACACGAGCCCTGTTGCTGCTGCTGCTCCCCTGGCCCTGGGGCTCCCGATGCTGCCTGGTGGGTCCCCGGCTGCTCTGCTGGGCCTAAGCTGCGTCCTGCTGCTCTCCCCATGAGTACCCACCACCCTGCCCGCAGCCAGCCCCTGCAGCCAGCCACCCCCGCAGCCGCTACCCGCAGCCAGCCCCTGTCTCCAGCCACCCCCCGCCCTGCCTGCAGCCAGCCCCGCCGCACCCCCGCCCTGCCTGCAGCCAGCCCCTGTCTCCAGCCAGCCCTGCACCCCCCCGCACCCCCCTTGCCTCCAACCAACCCCGCACCCCCTGCCCTGCTCGTAGCCAGCCCTGCACCCCCTGCCTCCAGCTAGCCCTGCCCCACGCCCCTGTCTGCAGCTGGCCCCACATCCACTGGTGCCCTGCAGTTCCCAGGGCAGTAACCCTGCACACCTGCTTCAATGAGGGGGGCAGGGAGCAGCTGGGACCCACACATGTGCACACCCCAGGGTGACCAGACAGCAAGTGTGAAAAATCAGGACAGGAGATGGGGGGTAATAGGAGCCTATATAAGACCCCAAAATCGGGACTGTCCCTATAAAATCGGGACATCTGGTCACCCTAGCAAACCCCCAGGGAGTGGCGGGGACCCACACATGTGAAACGGAGCTCATTTCTAGTTCAGGCCCATCTTTTTAAAAAAGAACTTTAGGCAGGGTTAACATACATCTGTATTTTCCCGGACAGGTCAAGCTTTTTGGTTCTTAAATCGCCGTCCAGGAGGAATTTTTAAATTTAAATCGCCGGGAAAATACGGACGTATGGTAACGCTGTTGGTACAAAAATACATACTGGGGCACATCCCTTAAATCAGAACTTTTTATAGGGAACCAGTTGTTAAGATTTTGGCAGCTCATCACTGGGTAGAACTGCAAGAAGGGGTGTTGCCCTGGCAGAGCTAATCCCCAGAACAGCCAGAGGAGGCACCATCTAGTCGTGAGTGAAGTATAGCCATACTGAACTGTTCTCTACCTGAAGCTTTTTGTACACCTTGCAGCTACTTGCATACAAGACACTTTGTTAATATGGAGTTAAGCTTTCTGGCTCTCCACACTGCCCTAGGCTCTTCATGCTCATCCACAACATAAGAGTTTGTGTCCAAAAATCCAAATGTTAGAAAACCAGTAAATGAGCAGTTCAGGTTCCAGGATTATGGAGGTACTATTGCATGGGCCAGGGAAGCACAAATCTTACAAATGTAGGAAATGCAAAGTTAGGGAGACACCTGCCATGCAACATTAACTCTGCCCTTTTGGTCCATCACAGTGCCATTGCACTTCAGTAAAGGTTTTATTGTCCAAAGTGATCTCTTCCAGCCACCATCATGTACACCACAGATCAACTGTGTTGCATAGAGAACAGCAAGGCTCCTAGCAGTATATGAACAGAAATGAACATTTGAAGTTGTATTGGGTACACAGAAAATGACAAGTTTAGTTAGGGTAGGATAAGGTACTGTTATATTCTCAGCTCCTATTGACATCCCTATGGCAGTTAAGATTGGGTGGCCACATTGCTTAGTAAGTGTTATCTTAACCATGCATGAGCCCCCTCCATTAGGAACCAGTTTTAGTAGGTATCTCACCAGCACTTGGAATGTCACTAGGCAGCTTCTGGTTCCTCCAGCTGAAAGATGGGCTGGTAGTCATTGGTTTTGTCTTATTCTGATGAGTGTCATACTGCAGGAGGGGCCGGAACTGTGAGAGAGTATAGAAATGAACTTTGTTAATAGCTGTCACACTCAGTCCCTTTCCTTTGCTTCATCCTCCCATAATGCACTACAGACTCTCAGAAAAATAGAATCATGCCCTCTACTGCAGTGCTGTGTCCCCTCCAGCCTGGTTCATGTTTCTGTTTTTCATATTCTGCCTGTACTACTACTCTGTCCTTCCCAGAAGTGCAGCAGTCTACCAAATAATCAGGGTGACTTCTTTCCCCACTTGCCTCATTGTGCTGCTGTGAAGAGGCATGCCCTCAAAATAGCAGAGAGGGGATAAACAAGTTCCCCTGGGCCTGTTCAACACCAACAAGGCACACCTGCAAGGCTTGTTCTGCCTGGAGTCGGGGGAGCTTAAAAGGGAACACCTGCCCCAGGAAGGGGCAGTGAAAAGGATGAAAGCTGCCCTGCCTCAGAAAGCCAAGATAGGCTCATTGAGAGACAGCAACAAGCTTCACTTCTCCCAAAGCTGCACAACTGAGCCTCAAAACAACATGCCTTATGAGGAGGGGCTGGAGATTAGACCCCCGCATCTAGATTAAGCCCAAAGAGCTGACCTAGGGAGACTGCCTGAGTCCCAGGTCACTCTTACTTTTCTTTAATTTCCCTTGGACTCCTCTTGCCCAGAAGGGAAGAAAGAGAGAAGACTTTTCATTTGTTTGCTTGCTCCAAGAACCCCTTGGGCAGCTTCTAGCAGGGTGAGAAAGACAGTACAAGGACCTGAAGTGGGGTCTGGGGGGGGACTTGGAGGGACCCCTCCCCTACACCAACAGCTCTAGTACACCTCCATTTCAGCTCTCTCTCTTGTCATAATCACACCCTAACCTAGGGCCTCTAGTTTCCCTCTCACAGTTCACCACAGGATACCTTCTTAATGGAATTACATACTTGATAGGTATCTACTGATGTATACAATAGGGACAAATTGACATCAAGATCTCCAAATTCATCCAGGGTTACTGGACCCAATGCACCTGTGGACACAAGGAACAGATCAGTGAAGGAGCCTAGCACTTTCCCAAGAAGCATGAACATGTGACAAGAAGAGAGGTGTAAATTAAGAGACTTCTGATGTTAGGATTTTTCTTCCCATTAACCTTCTGCATCTACACTAGAGCATCCTTCTTAGCACGCACCTCAGCTTATTCAGCCTCTGCTTCTCCCTTATTTGCATACTATTTTTTGCTTTAAAATATGAGTTTGACATTGGTAAAAGGAGTAGATCTAACAATACTGAAGAATGAAGCCCTCCCTAGCCACAGAAAAGATACAACTTATGTAGCAACCAGTCTGTTTTATTTCCATACACTGATCCTGCCACTGTGCCTTTAAGGGACCATCTCTAGAGGTGAGAGGGAAACTCTGATTCTATCCTTGGCCTCAAAGTCGGTCAACAAGGAGGGAAATACAGAGATAATTTATGTTCTTTTCTGCTGGCTTCACTTGGCCTAGATTTTCATCTTTTGAGGGATATCTGTTTGGGTCTAATAACCTTGTGTACCTTGCCATTTTAACCATACTTTTTCTTACCCTGCTGCTTGCTTTCTTATGGTGGGGAATGCATACATTCCATAACTCAGGATATGTTAATGTTACAGACTAAGGATTTTAGGGTGGAATCTTCAAAAGCACTTAGTATTGACCTAATTCTGCTCCCTCTGAAGTCATTGGTGAAATTGATGCTGATGCTTTCTTGGCCAATGTTAGCTGTGGCTGAATATTTTCTACTATACATACTCCCCACACTGCCATCCAGGACAATGACAAAAGAAGAACTTGCTACATTTCTGGGGATGAAGATGAGAGATGGATTTGGTTCAATGTTATGTATACTTCATCCTCATCCAACCTTGTGTTTAGCCTAAAATAAAACCTGGATGCCAGTCAGATGATAGGAAAGAGTCTAATGGACTCTGCAACCCACTTGGATGCCTCACTATTACACATCCTTTGGTCCACCCAGGCAATAGTTCCCATGTAGACAATTAAGTACTCTATACCTACATCAGAAAAGCACAATGTAATAAGGCCAGGGAGCTTAACATATGTCATCCTATTCTGTGCTGACCAGGGAGTGCCCCTCCCACTATACAGGAATATTCCTCCTTTGTCATTTCTGTACCCTTTACACCGCAAGATCAGTATGAAGAGCCTGCAGCCCAGGAGAGATTCTGGCCCCCAAACACTTTGGTCCTCATTGAAATTTATAAAAAGTTTCACCTCTTTTTTGTAGGTGATGTATACGGAAGGGGATTCTCTGTGTATGGATATTACTTAGTCTGTTTCTTCAGTGCTGATTATCATAGTATATTTGGGAAAATCAGTTGAACAGAAAAAGAGGGAAGATAACTCATTGCAGAGTCTAAACCCATTCAGCAATAAGGGGAGTTCCCCTCATGCCCACCTGGAAAATGAACTCCCTCTCCCCACAGTCCACTCAGTGAGCTGTTGCTCAGAATTGTACTTTATTACCTTTAAATGTGATGTTCCGAAAATGTTCAATGAAATCAGCAGGACTCCCAACTGACTGTTGGGAGAGCAGAAGTTTCTTCAGGACGTGTCCAAAGAGCAAGACTCCATCCAAATAGCCAACAATATAGTCATTATTCAGCTAGAATAGGGGAAAAAAAGAAGTTGGCAACACAGCCTGTTTATACCTCCATCCAAAACTGCAGCATCGTTTGGAGTATCAGCTCAGGAGAAACTTCAGAAATGGAACAGCAGAAGCTGCTGCAGGTCAGTCAGGTGCATTGGCAGTGGCGTGTGGGGGCTCAGGCTTGGGAAAATAGGATGCTGCAAGATGGGATTGAGGTGCATAAGCGGAGTGAGGTGACGAAGCCACCGGTCTGTAGTAAGAGGATATTGCGGGTCAAGATTAAGGTGCAGTAGTAGAACTGGGGAGGTCCTAGGACTGGAATAGCAAGAGGTGCTGTGGGTCAAAAGTATTTTCCAGTCGACACCTCATGACAACTGTTGGTTTCTGCATCTTCCATGCCTTGGGTTTAGTTCACGAGTCTATAATACTTGATGGTGCCTCAAAGGTTTCTAGAAGCCTGCAGGGGAGACTTGGTGATATTAAAGGTACATAAGGCACTAATCCTGCCTGACTTTTTTCTGATGCAACCCAGGTAGCAGAAAGTTGACCCAGAAAAGAAATGCAGCGGCACAAGCTTCAAACAACCCTGGATCTGCTGTGACATTGTAGATGACAGGTCCCAAATGGACAGAGTCAGGGCACCCATAAAAAAACAAAAATCACTGAATTACCTTTCATCAGAGTTTAAAGCTGTTGTTCTGTACCAGAGGGCAGTAGCGACACCATTACACTTATCCCCAGGGGCACAAGGGAAGGCAACTAAGCCCTGTAGCTGTACTGCTCAGCTAGAAACCTGTTACAAGAGGCTCTCCCACTTATTCTCCTTTGGGAGCAAGGTGCTTCATCTCTGTCTTCCCACAATTCCCGCAAATCACAATTCCAGACCCTTCCTTTTTCCCTGGCTTCCTCTGTACTGTAGCGGAGTTTCTGTCTCTCAGGCCTTGTTTTCCCCACAGTCTATGTCTCTGAAACCCGGCCACCACTCCTTTTCCCCCCACAGACCCACCACATCTATAAATCCTGCCTGAATTGTGTAGTATAGCTACTCTAGAATACAACTGATAGACTTTATAGTCACCCCAAAACTTGAGATACAGTCTATATTTTCTATTCCTGAGGGCATTCTGTGCCAAAAAAATAAAAAATTCTGTGCACAATATTCTAAAATTCTGCAAATTTTATTTGTCAAATAAATGTGGAGGCTCCAGCATGGCATTGGGGAGCACAGGCCACTGGCTGCACAGAGGTGAGAGATCACTGTGCAGCTCCACCTTCCCTCCCCTCCTCTGGGACACGAACTCAGTGGTGAGGCTGCACCCAACCCTGACACAGCGCAAGAACCAGGCCTGCCCCAGAAACACCCCAGAGCCCTGCCCCTCCATGCCAGGTGTGGGCAGGCAGGCCCAGCAAGGCAGGATCCAAGTGTGAAGGGGCTTAGGATGGGGAGATCCAGGTATGGGTTTAGAGGGTTCTGTATGGGGCAATCTGGGTGCGGGTGGCTCAGTGGGGGATCTGGGTGTGGGGGGAATCTTGATGCACAAGGTCTTGTTGTGGGGTTCTGGGTGCAACACTAATGGGACTCTCCCGGGGGTCCAGGTGAAGGTGGTTGGTGCTCAGCAGCGGGGGGTCTGAGTGTGTGTGGGGGGGATAGAGCTCAGCAGGGAGGGTCTGGATGTGGGGACTCAGTGTGGGGGTTCAGGTGCAGGTGGTTGGGGCTCAGTAGGATGGGGATCTGGGTGTGGGTGGCTCATCGGGGTGGTCCAGGGAGATCATCGGCGGGTTCTGAGTGTGAGGTGCAGGGTGAGGCTCAGCAGGAGAGTCTGGGTATGAGGGGGTCTGGAAGCACGGGAGTTGGACGGATGGGGGAGCAGGTCCCTGTGCAGTGAACCCTCACCCTGCAGCTGAGGAGCTATGGGTGCAGGAAGTTCTTGGGGGGGGGAGAGGCATTGCAGAATTTCCTACAGCCAGGGGAGAAGTCTGGGGGTGGGTCTGACCTGGCCCCAGATGCCATGCTGGAGAAGAGAAAGTCCCATCCTCCTCAGCTCAGACGGGACTAGCAGCTGAGCCCAGCGCAGGGTAGGAGCCACCAGCCATGTCTTCCCCAGTCCTGCCCCCACCCCACAGTGATTTACTACTCTGCTGGCTGCCCTGGGCACCTGACCGCTTTTGTGGCTTCCCTTTGCTTCCCCATCAGAAAGTCATTTTTCTGTGGGGAAACAAAGAAATCTGTGGGGGACATAAATTCTGTACATGCGCAGTGGCATAGAATTCCTCCAGGAGTAAAAATTTTCACAGTTCTCTCCCAAGTCCCATGAACTAGACATTTGCAGGCCAATTAAAAGCTTTGAACCTAGTTTGGGCCTCATAATGTAGCACAACTATCTTGCATCTTTGCTTTGTGATGCTGTAACTCTACATCATGATGTCAGATTACAGCAGGAGGATGAGAGGTCATCCTGCATCATCACATTGTCATGACATGAAGAGTTAAACATTGCTATATAATGCTGCTGTGTTGTAATGTGATTAATTTGTTTTGTGGGATGAGTACAGTCAGTAGCAGCCATTTTTTCTGGAACACTGTTGTGTGAACACAGGTGAACTGGATGAAATGATCAGATATGAAATAGTGTGGTTACCAGGTATTCATCCGTGGAATTTGGTCTGTAACTGGGTGGTGGCAGCGTCAGGACAAGGACATTCCGCATATAATTGTCTGATGTGGTGTTCTGAAAGTACATGTTACTGTAAAGAAAAACACAAGTGCTTCAGGGACAATGATAGCAGGAGCAGGGGAGACCTACAGCTCTTCATACCTAGAGAGACCTTCCCTCTCCCCAAAAGGAACTGTTGATTAACAGGTTCACATGGTGGTTCTCAGACTTGACATTGTAAATCACTTTTCACTGTGGTAGATATATCTCTTTCCATTGTTCACACTGTCTCTGTGGCAGCTATAGTGTTTAGCTACACAAAATGGTAATATTGAGACAAATCTGAAGAGACCAGATAAAAATAAACACATATGCCTAAGTAGATTCTATTGCCCTGCTTTGTTTCTGTGCTGTTTATTTTCTCTCCCTGCTTGCAGCACTTTACACATAGAGAGACTGAGTCCCAAATCCAAAATGCTATCTAGGCTCCTAACTTCTATTAAAATCAGTGGAAGTTAGGAGCTTAAATACCTGGGCCTGAGTCTCTTCTTGGTGTCTTAAGTCTCCATGACTACAATCTCTCCAGATCACTGGTCAATTTGTTTTTGACCTCTGATGCATTTACTATCCCTCTAATTTTGGTGTCCTTTACAAACTTGATCACAGTACAATTTACACTAAAGAAACACTTGGCCAAGAAGGATATGAAATAGCTAAAAGAGTCTTTGGAAACCATCAAAGTCTGGTGATGAGCTACGATAGCAGGATGAGTCACTGCTTGAAGTTGGCTGCTACTTCACTCCATAACAGAAGCAGCTCCGCAGACTATCTGGAAGTGCTCCACAAACCACAGTCTGAGAACCACTTGCTGAAAGCATCACTGAGAGGAGACTGGCTATAAGTATCAATGGGAAGGGGCAGTATTTGTATTTGATACAGTTGGATTGCTAAAAACTCCTTTTGTGAATCTCATCCATTAACTCACATTTGATTGCTCATTCTTGTCTTTTTAACTTTCAGAATGAATTTGGTGCTAGAATAAGAGCTTTGGGGACCAAAGTCCTCTCTTTAGCCCAAGCACAGGCAGCAGCAGCAGCTTCCCCACCCCCAAACACACTGCCCCTGCCCTTAATAATACCCTCAGACATTCACTCTGCAACTTTCACCCTGAAGGGATCTCAAAGTGCTTTACAATCAGGCGTGGACTGACCAATATGGAAAATTCCCTGGAGCCCACAGGATTTAGTAGCTCTGCAAGATCCCTCCTAGCAGTGGCTGACTTAGTTCTACAGATCAACATGATCTATGCTTGAGTCCTGGCTGGCAGAGGGCTCTTGGCCCAATAGAATTTAAATCCACAGAGCTATCTGGAGAACTCCAGCACTGGAGAAAAGTGGGGCCTGACCCAGTTACCCTGTTTGGATTTAGCATACTTCTGTGTTTGTGTATGAGAAGGCCTGATCCCATAAACTACAGGGTTATTCTAAAATCAAACACAAGCAGCAGTGAATGGCAGCAGGGCGCCACGGCACTGAGGCAGCTGGCCCTGTCAGAAGACCACATGCTGCAGCAACTGCAGTGGTGGCTCCCATCCTCCTACTGAAGGGAGAAAAAATCATCTCATCCTCCCCATCCTGGGCAGAGTGGAGATTTAGTCTTTGCTATCACTGCACAGACCACCCTATCTGTAAATATTTATATGCAAGGTGGTGATGCAGGGCCATGTATAAATGAATTTATCTTCAAAGCACTTCTGTAGAGGTTGTCTATTTGGCATCGGCAAAGCACATTAGAAGGGTGTGATTTGTAAAATGCTTTAACTGCCCCATGTTGACCTTGCTGGCATGAACTAAAAGGTACATAGATCGTGTTAATATAATCCTTTTAGCTTGTTCCAGCAGGATCTACACAGGACAGTAGGAGCACAGTTCATTGAAGCACTCTATCAGTTACACCCCTCTAACGTGCTTTGCCAGTGCCATGTAGACTAACCCTTAGTGACGTGCCCAAGGTCTGTGGCAGAGCCAGGAATGAAGCCCAAGTGTCCGAGTCCAAGGAGCTTGCCTTAACCAGGAGCACATCTTCCTCCCCAGTCTGCTCTTTACAACTATATCAACAAGCACCACTGAAATATAGGCAGCTGGGTGTGGGAGAGAGACAACCAGTTTCAGACACCACTCTGCACGCTAGTGAAGGCAGGGAAATTGTGGCTAAGGACACCAGGGCACCCCCCTGATCTGATGGCAAGTGTCATAGAATCCTTGATGTCAACACAACGCTTATAGGACTCCACGTTTTAAAGGTGCCATCTGAAAAACACAGACACTGAGTGAACTACAGGCTACTTCATGTATTCCCTTTGGAGGAGGAAAGATTGAGCTGAGCCTGCTGGAACTTTAACCTGTGATTCCAAGAGGCGTTTGAACCTAGATCTTAGATTACTAAACTATTCCTTCAGTGCCTCAATCCTGAGCCAGAGAGGCCAGCTCTAGGATTGAGAGGCATTCAGACTCCATGGTCCTGGGGATTCTTGGCCTCTCTGAGGCTACCACTACTGGAACCAGTTAGTATAAATGGTGAAAACACCTACTGTCCTAGTGATATTGAACTGAGATAACCATTTCGCATAGACCTGTAACCAGTGAAAGGCTCCATAACCCATTCCTAATCTGAGTTTTCCAATTTCTTTGCCTGCCAGCCATAGCATGGATCTGATTGGAACTGGTGATTTATAGTCACAGGATATTTAGAGTACCATGAATAGTACCCTGTTTTGTGATATTTTCAATAGCTCTTACATCATTCTAACATCCATCATAAAAAACTGTCCTATACATACTAACAAAGAGATGGTCAATATACTACTGCTATCTGATTTCCTTCAGATTTATATACTTGCTCATGTCCGAGTTTAGTATGTTTCAAAGAGAGATTCAATCCTAGGGCAAATCTGAAAGATCATTTCTCTCAATGCCATCAATACTTATTGACAACAATTCCCTTTCCTGTTATTGCAGATATGTGTTTGAGTGAAAACTTCTAAGGCCTCCAGCTTCTGTTCCATCCTGTAATGAAGTCAGAATCTTGTATTTGTGAAATCCCATTGAGATCACTGCCATGGAGGTCATTGCAATAACTGGCCTGGTGATAGCCTCTCTCTCTCTCTCACTCTCACTTTTATATATGTGTGACAAACTGGAAGATCAGAATAGCAAGAAAACACTCAAGGGGTTAGAGGAAATGGTAAATGTAGGGAGATTTTTTAAAAATCCCGTATGTCATTTGGCCAAATTATGCAACCAAGTAGAACTGTGTAGGAAACAGTTTTCCTGTCCTGTGAGAAATTTCATGATTTTGAAAAGCTTCCCATGCTACAGTGGAACAAAACTGAGACCTCTGAAATTTGTTTTGTGAAAAATCAGAATGACCAACTATAGAATAATCAATGGCCTACTGGTTACAGCACTCACCTAAGATGAAGGAGACATGAAAGAGCTAGGTTTAAGTCACTGCTCTGCCTAATTCAGAGCAAAGACTTGAACTGTGGTCATCTACATCCCAGCTGAGTGCATTAGCCACCCAGCTATTCTAAGGTGGATCTCTTCTGTTGGAGCTGTTCCACTTTGTGTAAGTTAAATATTCATTGGATCAGAAGGAAAGACTGACTCTATAGCCCCATGATTAGGGCACTCACCTGGGATGAGGTAGACTTATGTTCAGGTCTCTGCTCTGAATTAGCGAGCAGGCCCATGAACCTAGACATCTTATGGCTCCTGCATCCTAAGAGAGTGCCATAACCAGCAGGCTATTCCAGGGTCTCTTGCTCTTTTATTTTGAGTAGAAATTTCAACTCCGAGCTGAGGAAAATTTAATCAAAACTGCCCTTTTCACAGGATTTGACAAATCAACATTTTTGGATGAAAAACTTTGTCAAAAAATTCCTGACCAGCTCGACAGCTAAGGGGGATATGAGAAATGTCTACAATTACATTAAGGGCATAAACACCAAGGGGCAGACCTTCACAGGTATTTAGGTGCCTAGTGGGATTTTCAAAAGCACCTAAACAGGTTAGGTCCCTAACTTCTATTGATTTGAATGAGTTAGGTGCCTAACTCACTTAGATGTTTTTGAAAATCCCACCAGGTGCCTCTCTGCCTCTTTAGGTGCCTCTATACCTTTGAAAATTCTAGCCTTCTGGCCAGATTTTCAAAGGAGCCTTAGGTAGTTAGATGCCCAAATCCTAACTGAGTATCTAACTACCTTAGGGTCCTTTGAAGATCCCATCTTAAAGAAGGAGAGAAATCATGTAAGGTGATCTGAAGAGGCTGTAATTAGGAATACTAAGATGAAATCAAGCAAGTGACTATTTAGGGTTAATATCAGGAAATACATCCTAGTAGGGAGATCCATTTAGCTATGGAATAGTCTCTCCGTGGAAGTGGTGGAAGCCTCACTGCTTATGTCATTTAAAATTGGACAAGACAAAGCCCTGGAGAATATCTTTTAGGGTGCATTCCTGTGTTTTCTGGTGGGGTAGTAGGGAGGAAGATAGAAAAGATGTTAGGTTCTAACTTGGTTTCTATTATTCTATAATTTCATCCTGCAGTGAGGTCATGACTCTATGACATCACAGTCCAAAATTTAGATGCCTTAAAAAAAATCTAACATGGATTGGATAAGTGATGTGGAGGATGTGTCCTGGTTCAAACACCAAAAAAGCTTTGATAATTGGCTAAAAGGGGGCCAAGAAGACTATGAAAAGGAGGTGACAGGGAAATGTTTCATGGTAAAATGTCTCCTCAGCATGAGAGTTCCTCTTGGACTATTTCCATTAGCTCCATCCTGCAGGAAATGGGAGTGGGGACAGAAGGAAAACCAGCGGCGATACTTTACTTGTGAAGATCCACCAGGATGATGACTATGTCCTCATCTACTTTCTCTCCCTCTAGGATTGTCTTGACCTCAGCTGGAGAGCCACACATGATGATCACTACAGACCAGGCAAAGACAGATGGAGAGAAGGTGAGAGGCATACAAATAAGGAGGAGGAGGACAAATAGAGTTTTACATACTGTTCTTAGAATATAAACTCTAGAATAACAGGGCTACAGCTGGTCAGGGCTGAGAGGTATTGCCAGAAATGAAAGAACAGATAGTTGTGGGTCAGGACTGAACTACACAGTGGGAGGAGAAAGCTTGCTCAGCATCTGCCCACGTTATGCCTGACCCAGTTATAATCACACCTTGCTTTCATGAGCATTAAAATCGCACGTAGATTGAGTGCAACATAAACTACAATCAGTAACATGGTATAGAAGGTTCTAAGGCAAAGGGTATTAGAAGAATAAACCATTAATCTGTCACTGGCTTCCTTATTCTCATGCTCCCCCCTCCAATGATGTCAGGGATTAACATTACCATAAGCACTTGTTAATAGAGCTGAGGCATCACCACCATGGCCAGGGTTTCCAGTAGGGATTGTTCATTCCCCCATGTTTGAAATGAGCCCCCTTGTTGCACAAAAGGGGTGTGTGTGTGAGAGAGAAACAGACACAGAGAAAGCAGCTTGGCATTCTAGTAACACTGGAATCCAAACTATGACCAGGGGCTGCTGGGTTATGAATGCTCCACTGGACTGGGCTTGTAGGAAGACAGTGTCATGTCTGCAGAAGATAATCTACCCCAAGAGGCATCTACAAGCAGAATATGCCCATATGCTTTATCAGGACAGTGGGGGAATTGAGTTCTGTGCCATCTTCCCACATTCACAAAAATGGAAAAGAGTATCTGTGCTTATGATCTTCTGTCATAAGTGGAAAGATTTTCCCCAGAACATAACCCAGGCAGTAGTGCATAGACAGAGATCAACAGCATGCATGCAAGGGAAAGAGAACTCTCATCTCCCCTTACCATTGCTTTTCCGGGTCTGATCCTTCACAATTTTCTTTAATTTTTCTGGTGTCCTTAAAACCTCTTTGAACGTCAGCTTTAAAGAGAAGTATGAGATTCCAGCCTCTAGTGCATTGAGGTACCTGATGCAGGGTAGGAAGTGTGGGTTATAGATCAGCTGAAAATATTCTAATGCCTTACATTTATATAGCACCTTCCCGCATTAATAATCCTAAAATGTCTAATAGACTGTTTACAGCACATTAGGATCACTTCACCGACTACGGAAATGTAGCCACTTCTGGGTTGGAATGCAGCAGCCATTCTGCATCAATAAAGTTAAACAACAGAATTTGGGAGGGAAAGCAGTACAGAGAATGTGAGCATAAAAAGGAAAACCTTGAACCTGAGCAAGAACCACTTAAATCTGGTATTATAAAGGATTGGTTCAAATAATGCATTAGTGTAGTAAGATAATTTTCAAAACAGAAAACTTTGAGGAATTACAAAATCTAGTGCAGGTTTCAGAGTAGCAGCCGTGTTAGTCTGTATCCGCAAAAAGAAAAGGAGTACTTGTGGCACCTTAGAGACTAACAATTAAAGTGCAAAGGAGCAAATGTGGTTTTCCAAGGGACTGCTTAAAGACCTGAAGTTTTAAAAAAAAGTGATTAAAAAAAGATAGGAGGCAAGAAAATAAAAATGCAAAGTCAAGTAAGACTCGCTGGAAAGAGATAAGGAGAGGAAAAAAGCAGAATGAGTAAATGCTAGGTAAAAGCAATAAAGGGACACTGTCAATTTGAAAATCCTATTTCTAGCTGAAAATTTTGTACCTCCTATAGTTACAAAAGAGACTTTGGGTCACTGTATCTGAAAAAATTAGTGGGAGAAGAAATAATTTTCTCTATTTTTCCTCCCCTGGTTTGCTTACTTTGTGATCTAACAGCACTTGGGGCACCATCCTTTGAGGTGCTCAACACCTTTTTCTCCCATTGTCTTCAGTAAGAAAAGAGGGTGCTCTGCACCGCAGCAGGTTCATACCCTTAGTGAGTAAGGCTCCAGTCTTGCACACATTCAGGTATCTTAACAACTTTACACACATGAATAGTCCCATTGAAGATACTCATGCCTCTAAATATTTGTGGGGGATGGGAAATAATCAGGCCATATTATTTAATAGGTGCTTTATCAGCAACTGGATTTTTTAAAAGAAAATAGACAATTTAAAACACTTCAAGTTAACCACAACACTTTACACAAAATAAGTCCTTCCTGAATATCACAACAAAAGAAAAAAAGTTTGAACAATTAGGAAGTAAGAAAGACCATGAAAAGTAATATTGATAAAGGAAATACAAGAAAATACTTGGAAAATATGAAAATTCACAAATATGAATGGTAGGAAACCTAAGGTATTAAAGGAATCTAGCTAAAGAATGTATGGTACCATGGACATTTATTTTTGGAAAGTTATGGAGAACTAGGGATATAGCAGATTAGATAAAAAACACTAATTTTCAAAACATGAAAGAAAAATGATCCTGGCAATTACCATCCTGTAAGTCAAGTTTCTATCCTTAATAAAAGGACAAATACTAAGAGAAAATGGTCATTAAACACCTATGAGATAATGGAACTGTGATTGTATTTTAGTTCCCAGTGCTTAAATCACACTGAAGTCAGTAGGGTTTAAGCTGATGCATAAAGTTCAGCAGATACTTATGTGTTTTCCTGACAGAGGGCAATCAAAAATAAATCTTTCCACAAAAACTTGATTGCTTTTTTAGTTTAATTTCTGAATCAGTGGAAGAGTGGAGTGCACTAAATGTAATATTTGGATGTTAATAAAGCAATTGTCTCAATCTTACTTGAAAAATTAATTCAAACTGGGATAGGAACACACTCAAACTGACAATTGGCTGATTGATGGACATAAACAAAGGGTAATGATAAATAGCAATATATTGTGCGGGAAAATGTCTATCGGACTATCACAGAGATTGATATTAAGTCTGCACTAACATCTTCATTTCTGGAAGAAGGAGTGAAATATGCTCATGAAATTCCAATATGATATGAAATTAGGAGGAATTGTACATACCAGTGAGGACAACGAAAAAATCCACCAAGGGACTTAGAAAGATTAAAGTCTGGGCAAAAAGTAACTAAATAAGATTGATTCAACTTGGGAAAAGGGAATATACTGTAACTAAAGGGAAAAAAATCAGAATAATTGATTGAAATTCAGTGGTAATGAAGAAGACTCTAAAAAGCTGAACAAGGCCTAAGGGTGATAGCAGACAGCACATTAGACATGATTTTACAATGCTATGACAGAAAGAGCAGCCCCTGTAGTTGCATATACTGAAGTATCATGTCATAGAGCAGAAAAGTAATAATATCCTTCTATGGCCACGGTCTGGTGAGACCATACCTAGGCTACTGCTTTCCTTTTTGGTAATTTCATTCAGAGAAGAACATTGATCAGAGTTTGAAAGGCATTCAGTGTAACAAAAATAACCAGTGACTGGAGGAACTGAGGAGAGAAAGAATTAAAAGAGCTAACTCAGGCCCTGAACTTGCAAACTTTTATGCACATCAGTAGTACTAAATGAGACCTCTCGTGTGTTAAGCCAGATGTATAACCATTTATGTCAGGGATTTAAAAAGTCTACAAATGTTTGAATGGTGTAAAATCAAGAGCTTGATTTTTTTCCTCCCCTCCATAACCACCATATACACCCTTTCCCCCAGCAAGATACAAGTAACAACCAAACTGATTTGTATCCTGGCATCAAGGAGGAAGGAGAGGAATTACTTATGATGATACAGAAGGTCATTACTAGGAGTGATGTGATGAAATTGAAAGAGGAAAAATTTAGTTTAGATGCCAAGAAATATGGCAGTGAAATCTATTAGCCTGTGAAATATTCTCCCAATGGACATGATGGAAGTCTGTAGCTTGGGAACATTTGCAAGCAGACTGGACATAACATTGGTAAATGTAGTGGAGAGAATATTGCTGTTCTGGAAAGGAGAGGGATTGGATGGTCTAATTGGTCTTTTCCAACTCTCTGTTCTATGAGAGCAACAGAGAGAGTTAGAGAGAGAGAGGGACAAATCTAAGGACAGCCTAAAGAAATCATGTCAGAGGTGAGTCCAAGTTTTCTAGGACAGTAGCTGGGAGAGACTTGGGAATGCTCTTACCAGAAGCAGTCTTCTGGGATGTCATTTGTCTTATAGAGGTAGGTGGATTCCCAAGAGTTGGTTTTGAATGGCAATTTGGACTCTTCCCAGAAATCAACAAAGAAGTAGATCAGTTTTCTGGCTGGAGTCAGGATTCGAGTTAGGTTGTCTTTGTAGTCACATGACAGCCCAAAGCTCCCTGCGGAGATCAGAGGGAGGCCCAATATTGTGTCAACGCTAAGGGGGAAGAGAAGAGGGGAAAAAAAACAACATGGCTGATACATGAATTCATGTCACATCAAGATAGCTACCATGTGATTCACATGGCCAGTACTTTCTCACTTTGTGTCCTGACTTAGTTTTACAACAAACTAAATTTGAAATAATACCCCACCCCATCCTACCAAAGAACAGGTGAAATCTTTAATTAAAATGTCATTACAGCGTAATGGTGCTCGACTGACAATTTAACTAGCCTCGGTATAGGTACACTGCATGACTCCACTACACACTACCCTTCCAAATGATTACGACATAATTATAATGTATTTTATGCAAGGTAAGTCATGTGAGGTGTCATTGGAAAAGTTATGATTTGCTGAATATGATTATCCTATTTGTATGCATGTATCATGTTTGTATCTGAAGTTATAAATACTGACTATGTATCTGTATTTCAAATGTAGTAACGCACGGATAGATGGGTAATGCACACTAGACAAGATGCTTTCAGTCTAGATAGTGGGTGGGGAAGGGCCTATTCAGGGCAATGGGCCATTAAGAAAAAACAATAGGCCTTAGGAGAAGCTTATCTCCCAGCTGGGGAGCCTTCCTGAAAATGCTACAGACAGCCTCCAAGTGATGGCTGCTATGACTCTACAAGGACATATAATGAGACCACATGTCTCTAGGCTCCATCTTGGGATATCAGTATTTTTCCACAGACTGGTCTGGGAACCAAGCTTTGGGAACAATGGGTTCCCGCCATATGCAAAAGCTGTATAAGGCAGGGAGTGACATCATCTGGTGTTCTTCACTCCCTACCCAAGAAGACTCCTGGAAACACCTGAGGAACAAAGACTGGACTGGAGGAAGTGCTGGACCCAGAATAAAGGGATTTCTAACCTGTTAATGAAACATCTGGGGATTCCAAGCTGTAAAGCAAGTGCAGCTTGCCCCTTAAGAATCTGCAGCCTGCTTATATCATCTCTTATGGTGAGAATCTGCTATTCATATCAAATCTATCTAGCATATCAAATTTAGTTTGCATTTTTTGTTTATTTGATTGGTAATCTGCTTTGATCTGTTTGCTATCACTTATAATCTATCTTTTGTCATTAATAAACTTGTTTTTGTTTTATCTAACCAGTGAGTTGGAGTGAAGTGTATGGAAATCATAGCTTGGGGCAAAGGCTGTTGCATATTCCTCTCCACATTGAGGGAGGGGGTGAATTTTATGAGCTTACACTATACAGTTCTGTGTGCAGTGCAAGATGATATGGTTTTGGGTTTATACTCCAGAGGGGATACGTGCCTGAGGAGCTGGGAGTTGCCTTAACTATAGCCTTCCAATGCAGGGGCTGGTCAGAAAGCCTGCATATAACTGCAGCTGGGCGTGTCCCTACCTGTATGTATGCTGGTGAAAGTGCAGGCTAGAGGGCTTTGCAGTTTGTCACAGCAGTACAGTGTGAGAGGGAGCCCAGGCTGGTGGGTCAGGAGGCCAAGTGGTACCCCATTTCTGGGTGGCATCCTGGGGGGAACCTGCCACAGTTGTTGTGATGCCATCTTCTGCTGCTAGAGGTGGGTCTGAAACCTATCAAATTATTTTAAACAGTTCATGGAACAGCTATCAGATGGTGATGATTGTCATTTTCTTGAGGCCAGAGGGGAACTAGAAACAAGCTACCTGTCTGCTGACTGATCCCTTGTATAATCTTTCTCTCAACCTCTAGGTGTGATATAAGAACCTGCAGAACCAGTTATCATATTCCATCTTATGTAGAGGGGTAAAATTATTGTACAGTGCCAGCCTATGCACTAGGAAATCTAAAATAGCTTAGTGAAGTCTTGTTATTTCCATCAAGCCAGTTTTGGATGAACTGTGGGTTGACATCCTTTGCCAGGTGAACGATGTCTAATGAATCACAGGCCATTAATAGCCACTCTTCTTAAATGGGTTTTACCACTTCACAGAGCAGGGCTGGAGGAGAGATTCTCAGAGCTATTGACAAATCTTACTTCTACAACCAGATTTCTTAGTGTATTATGGGGAAGGGGAAATAGTAGTGGTTATAGAGACAAATATGGCAAACCTGGGGTGAATTTATGAAAACACCACTATTTTTTCTCCATAGAGAGGTTGTAATGGGTGAAAGCATTTTCTGCAATGTTGCGCTGTTATCACATTACACTAGAAAAATTCTCCAATTCTTTTAGGAGAATCTTTTACACTTCATAGGGAATATTGTACTGAACAATATGGCAATTACAATTATCTGGCACTGGTATGATAGAACTACTGTCTAACTTTATGTCCAGGTAAAGGTCATTATTATTATTATTATTATGAAGCAATGTAGCTTATGTTTGATGCAGTAGAAAAGGGGGAGCCAGTGGAGGGATGTACAGTGCTCTGGAGGACAACTGATGCAATGAGCCAGAAACATGATTTCATTATTAAAATGGAAATTTACCAGGCTGGTTTAGAGTACTGCCAGGTAAAGAACCTGCTTTTGGTTCCCAAATCTGTTCATTTCACCCTGGGTCAACCTGGTTGCCTAATGGTTAGTGCTCTTCATTGCTATGCAGTAGCTTCAACTCCTCAGAAACCTTCTGAATTAACTAGGGGAAGGGGGGGAGAAGACTTGGGAATTATGGTAAACAACTCAGTGAAGCTCTTTGATCAAGGTACAGCAGGAGTCCAAAAAAGTAATGCTAGGATGCTTAAGGAATGGGATGGAGTGTAATACAGAAAATATTATAATACTGCTATATATAAAGCAGGTAATATTACTGTATAATATAAATCAATCATATACCCTCACCAGGAATAATATGTTCAGTTCTGATCATCCCACATCAAAAAGGATATAGGAGAAACAGAATGGGGTCAGAGGTGGTCAGTCAGAATCAGTAGGGACATGGAAAAACTCGTGTATGAGGGAAACTGAAAAGTCTGGGATGCTTTACCTTTAGAGAGGAGGCAAATACTAGACAGTATGATTAAAAACATACAAAACAGTGAGTGGAAAAGAGAAGGTGGATTTCTATTCATGCTGACTCAGTAAAAGAGCAAAGAAACATTAAATGCAGTTGAAAGAAGGTAAATTCAAAACTGATTAAAGAAAATATTTCTTTCACACAACACACAAATAGCCTACAGAATGCCTTGCAACACAATATCATTTTGGCCTGGGGCTCAGCAGGATTCAAAAAAGGGTCAGACCATAATTTTATGGATAACAATATCTGCACTTATATATACACACAAAATTTTACTCTTGTATTGTTTATGTATATAACAGTAAATATATTTTTAAAAACAGGAATTTTGGAAGGCATATAATCACACATAATTCAGGGAATGAGCAACCCTCTAAATATTGGGGGTTAGGAGAAAACTGTCTCTTAGTGCACGTTATCCCAGCACTGTCTTCTGCAAGGTTTCTTGCACCTTCCTCTGAAGCATCTACTACAGTCCAATGCCAGTGACAAGATACTTGTCTAGATGGACCACTTGTCTGAGCCAATATGGACATTCCTCTGTTCAAGATAATGTCTGTCTCCTGCTGGGAGTGTTGAAGAGGTAGCTTGCTGAGACCTTGAGTGATCAGACTACTTTTTGTCAATCATTATCGCTCCTCTCCTGAGTCCTACCTAGTAAAGCAGTTGCATTAATAAGCCCTTTAGGGGGCATTCTGTCCCTGCCAGAGGTAGTGGCCAGGTATAGGAGCTCTGTAGGACTCTGATTGTGAAGCACAGTATGCCTCACACACAAGTTCAGTGTCTATTCTAGTCTGAGTAGGAAACAATTTTGTTGAGTATTTTACTTCCTTGGAACACAGTAATGTTTTTTTTCTGATACTTACTAGAACATCTGGTACGTGGCATAAGTACAAGTGGGTCCCAGGACAACGCAGCCAAGTGTGCCGCTATTCTGCAAGAGATAAAAGAGCATTTGCAATGGAGAGTGCAAAGTGAGGGAAGGGGCTACTGATATGGGAAATGCAGAATGTGGAGCAAGGCACAGGCAAGGGGGATGGGGGGAGACTGTGAAATGTGAGAAGACACAGCACCAAGATTAACTGCCACTGAGCAAGTACAGAGTGGTGAGAGAAGGGGCTGTGGAATGAGGGAACAGATAAGAGGATGAATCTGGAGCAAGAGAAGAAGGGAGGTGACAGAATGATGCATGGCAGTGTGTGGTCTGCACAGAGGTGTATGACAAAGCTAGGTGGGAGCTCAGTTCTGGAACAGCAGGGGGACTACATGTCGGAATTAAAATGCATCATCAGAGCTGTGTTGGAGTTGCAGGTGAGGAGTGAAGTGGCTCAAGAGAGGCTAGCTATACGTATGTATGGGGCAGACAGTAGGAATTAGGGGGTGCTATAAATTGGAAATGAGGTGAACTGAGTGTCTGTGTAGGAAGCCTGTACTTTGCTGCCAGTACTCACTATACCTGTCTCTAGCCAACACTCAACACACTTTCACAAACAGAAAAGAAGGATTTCTGTAGAAATGCCTAGTACTCACATAGAGCTGCTTGATGACCTCCAGACCCTCACAGGTGGTAGTGCGACAGCCCTGTGAGACATACAGTGATGTGTTGAAGTCATGGTAGGTGGCATTGAGTTTCACATTTTTTCCTATAGAAGGAGAAATGGGAAACAGCATTAAAAGACACATCTACTCACTGATGCACTGAGGGTCCCTCCCTGTTCATTCGTGACAGAGACCAGTACAGTCTCATACTAACAGGGCCAGATTAAGAACATTCTAGGTCCTGGAGACAGAATATCCTGAGCCCTGCTATACTCTCTGCTCTCGGGGGCCTCCCTTCCGTGTTTTTAATTGTTTGGAAGGGTGGGAGGGCCTCAGTTTCAAAAACCTCTGTGCAGCCTACACTTACCCTACAGCAGTGGTTCCAGTCCCATGGGGCTGGGGCTGGCTCCCTGCTCTGGGCATTGTGACCTAGCACTTGGGGTCACAACACTCCTCAGGTTTGTCCCAGTCGCTCCTTGGTCATGATGCAGCAGTGGCTGGGCCAAATTTGAATGCCATTGCAAGTGAGTGCAGATCACAACAGTACTTACTGCAATTCCATGGGTTTGGCGAGGGTGTAGTCTTCTGAGGGGCCTGGGCTATGGCCCCATTAGCCCATCCATTAATATGGGCCTACATACTAAGGTGCCTCCGTTCCCAAAATTCACTGGGAAGCAATTCCCCCTACCCTCCATTCCACTGGATAAGATTGCAGAATTAGCTCCACTATAGAGGGCTGACATCTTTCTCTGAAACATCAGGTATTGGGCATGATCAGAGACAGAATATCAGATGCTTTTTAAAGCTACAGGAAAAAAAATCAGAGGGCATCAAATTCAAATGAAACAAAGACAAAACATTAAAAATGGGGAGGAAAAGGAGATAGTTTTCTTAGAACATTTCAATCTCTCTGGTCACTCGATTACAGACCTAAAAGTCGCAATATTACAACAAAAAGACTTCAAAAACAGACTCCAACGAGAGACTGCTGAATTGGAATTAATTTGCAAACTGGAAACAATTAACTTAGGCTTGAATAGGGACTGGGAGTGGATGGGTCATTACACAAAGTAAAACTATTTCTCCATGTTTATTCCCCCACCCACCCCCACCGTTCCTCAGACGTTCTTGTCAACTGCTGGAAATGGCCCACCTTGATTATCACTATAAAAGGTTTTCTCTTCCCTCCACCCCACTCTCCTGCTGGTATTAGCTCATATTAAGTGATTACTCTCCTTACAGTGTGTATGATAACACCCATTGTTTCATGTTCTCTGTGTATATAAATCTCCCCACTGTATTTTCCACTGAATGCATCCGATGAAGTGAGTTGTAGCTCACGAAAGCTTATGCTCAAATAAATTGGTTAGTCTCTAAGGTGCCACAAGTACTCCTTTTCTTTTTGCGAATACAGACTAACACGGCTGCTACTCTGAAACCTGTCATTAGAACCTGCTGTAATAGGACATTATGGAGGCAAATAGTTTAGTGCAGAGGTTTTCAAAATGTGGTCCGTGGACCACCAGTGGTCCACGACCTCCATCCAGGTGGTCCACAGATAGTTTCCTGTAAGGTGCGCACCTGGATGGCCACACACAAGAGAATGAAGGGCCACCCACCTAATTAGTGGAGCCGTGCAGTCGTGGCTCCACTAATTAGGTGCCTGGACCCTGGAGAAGATGTGCATGTAAGGTGAGGTGGTGGCCTTGGGGGGAATAGGGTAGGTGGGGGGGCAGTGGGGCGAGAAGAGGGGGTGGAGGGAATTTGAGATGTGCAGGGTTGTGGCGGCCAGAGAAAGAGGCGACTTTCCGCAGCTCCAGGGCTGTGGCTGCCAGGGAGAGACGCCCCTCCATCCCAGCCTCAGCTCTGTGGCTGGTGTGGCAAGGGAGAGAACCCTCTCCTTCCCAGCCCCAGCTCGGGGGGCTGCTATGGTGGGGGAGAAAGGGCACATCCATTGCATTAGAAAGGTAAAACTACTGATATAAAAATATGAGTTGTGTGCTTTTATTTGTAGAACAAAAATGTTAATTTTTTTTTATATAGCGCTTTTATCCAAAGCACTTTACAATAGCTAATGGTACAAACAACATTTGGAAAGATCATTAAATGGCCTTCCGAGACCCTCAGCAATTTTCAAGTGGTCTGCGGAAAAAAAGTTTGAGAACCACTGGTTTAGTGATATTGAAGAGAGGGGTTAGATATGAAAATGAGTAAGAATAGCATCTGCAGTGATGCTACCTAAATTAAAAATTATAAGGGCTGCTGATCCCCACACTTCAGGGAATAATCTGAGCAGCAGCTGGGGTCAGGATGAAATTTCTTTATCATAATGTTACAAAGTTATGTGTATCACTGCGGGAGTGGGCTGACACATCTGTTATTATCTAACATAGAAGTTACCAGAATAGATGGATCACTGATCTGTTCTGCTAGAGGAGAAGCCAGGATACTGGACTCAATGGACCCTTGATCTGGTCTGATTTGGTTCAGCAGTTTCTATGTTCTCAATCCCAACCTAACATCTTCAGAAATTAACTCAGGGAATGGTTTGCATCAACTTGCACACAAACATCCCTGGTTCAGTCCTTGCACTGTGGCTCCGCTGCTTTGAAAGAAGGGGAGAGTTATTGTCTGATCTACATGGTGACTGGAGAGCCCAAAAACAGCTTTGAGGGGCAGTTTGTAGAAGCACTGACTGAGGGAGGGCCAGGGCTCAGAGTCTGACCCAAAAAGTCTAAAGGGGAAAAGAACACACAGCATCACGCCCTTACCTGCATTCTTCAGCTCCTCTTCTACCATACTTAGTCCCAGCTGGACAGCTGGTTTTATTTTATCGAAGGTCCATGGAAGGTCTGTGTGATTCAGCTGCATCACATTGATTACATAATTGTCCTTGACACACTTGCCCTCACCAACCTGCCACAGCAGCTGGAGACAGAGGAGCGTTGGCCAGAGGTCTGGACCCAGCATTCGTTGCCTCATTACTCCTCTCAGTTTAGACCCGTTGCCCAATGCTCACATATACACACACTACACTGTTGTTGTTCCTGGATAGGCTGAAACAAAGATTCATGTTGTATATCCACCGATCAGCTATACCGTATCTCTTTCACCCCTTTATTCTCTCCCCTTTTCTGCCTCCACCTCCACCCCACACCCATCTACCCTAACTGGCACGTCTGCTTGTGAAGAATTAAAAGCAACAGAACTTAGGAAAGGAGAGAGGCCAAAGGTTGCTTTGTGTGTTTGCTCATGAAAAGGTTGAGGCTATAAAAGAGAGATAGTACTGGCACTTTGTCTGATAAGGAAACTTTAACTCTGCATCACAGTGAATTGATGGGTAGGGAAGAGAAAGAAGGAGGGGCCAGCTGGGTTGTAAAAGGAGGCCATGTAAATGGATATAAAGTAAAAGATCCATTAAAGCCCCAGAGAAACACAGATGGTTGCTTTGTGTTTGTTTTGCCCTTCCAGGTCACCCCTTTTGGCTGTGCCCCTAAGTTTGGGGGTTATTATATTACTCTATATAATTTTTATGTCTTTAAGATACTATTTTCATTCCTTTAGTTTTTCCAATCAAAATGATTTTTAGTGCTGCCAAAAAATGTCTGACTGAAAACCTCCAGAATCAGCACAGAATCAATGTTTTAGGAATCCCCCAATATCACCCTGGGCAATGTACCCCAATTTTGCTATACAGACAACACTTCTAGGGAATGCAAGTTTTCATAGTCTATTGAGGCTTTGGCCTGTCTCCTGAGACTACCAATGAGGGGGCCAATTGTGTTAATTGTTTTTGTGACGTGACTGCTAATAGTCATGCAGGGACCCAATACCTGCAGGTCACAGATTTGACATGTGGGACCTCAAATCATTCAGCGATAACAAGGCAGTATTCTTGAGTGGATCCTCTCAAGAACACATACTGAGAATGTTCTGAGAATGTTCTCAGATCAGGGGGTAAGAAAAGGTAAAAAAATCTACCCATCCCCTGGCTATTCTGACAAGGGAGAAAAGGAAACAGAAAGGTAGAGGGAGCCAACAGCTCTTAAGGCAGATAAATATTGAATCCATATTTTATTGAATGTGATGGATCTTGCATTTTGGGACTAATGGACATCCATAGCAGCTACTACCTGTCCACCAGAACCTGGACTGAAGCCCCACTGAAGACTAAATAAACTTTTATAACTTTCCAGAGATTATTTTAAAACAAAACAAGGAAATTAAACACCAACTGTGCAAATACAGTGTTTGTGGCACAGACCAACTGAACTGAAACCAGAATTTTCTTGGTTTATCTCATTATAAAAGTCTGTATTTAAAGGAGCACTATATATTTTATACATGTTTACAAAGTCCATGTAATATTGTATATGAGCTTACCCCTACTGCCAAATAAATACTTCACTGTTCTTTATCTTTGGAGGGAGGGGGAGATAACTCAATGTCAGCTGCCAGCTTTATGAGCAAACCACATTATTCTATCCAGCACTTAAAAGTGAGCCTAGAATTGCAGACCAGCACATTCAAACCTGTTCTTATAAACTGTAATGTAGGAACTCTAAAATAACAAGCTGGTATAGAGGTATGAGCATAGGAGTGGATGGATGGACCATCAGATTGGGAATGGATGATGGAGCCTTTCATGTCTAGTTTATTGGCTTATCTCTGGCTGTTCTGGGGTAATTACTCATGGAGGGCCTGAGCTTTCTCCCACTTAAGTCAATGGGAATCTTGTCAATGGGAGCAGGCTTTGAGCCTAAATGCTCTTCTTAGTCTGCCTACTGGAAGCAATCAGCAAATACTAGTAAAGTTACTGGAATTAAGTATGTTACATTTGCATGTCATTATAACTATGGGAATTGTGTAATGTACTGGGCTGTATCTACTATTTATTTGGATTTAATTGCAGCTTAAAACTGCCCTCTAAAAACACGATGCAAAAATAACTAAAGTATCAAAACAGCAGCACATTTCTTCCCTCTTTGCCACAAAACTGAATTCCCAGGCAGCACCCTATTATAAATCAGTAGCTCCCATCCCTCAAGGCCTCACCAAGCAAAAACAGAAATCCTGGTTTTTTATATCTGTTGCTGTCCTCTTCTGCATGGAATGTGTCATCTGGTCATGTCAAGTGTTTATCAGTTTGATTGCATTGTCCTCAAGTGGCTAGAGGCCTTGAAAGCAGGTACAAGCCCTAGTATTACTAACGGCTAATGAAGATCTTCCTTTAGATCACCTAGTCATGAGTACTATGTCATGAGTACTCGTCCCTGATGCTTTAGGCCATATTCTGCCTTCAGATATATATGAACAACTCACATTCAAATCAATGAAAGCTACACTTTGTTTAGGGGGTAAACTTGGTCTCTTGCCAACAAGTATAATATCTGGGTATGTGTTATGTGGCCACAGACTGTTGTAAATATCCAAAACACTGAGAAAGAGAGAGAGATTCCTGAATTTCAGTGTTATATTTGAAATCTTGGCTCTATTGAAATCAATGGGAGTTTTACACTGACTTTAGTTGAGCTAGGATTTCATCCCGACTCAAGGACACTACCTGTTTGCTCAGCTTGCTGTTCCACTGGATAATAAACAACTGGATTTCATTCAATCTAGTTTAAACAGATAATACTGCATTAACTTCCTGTTCCAAAACTATTCTGAGTGCTCCTCTCTTATTCTTCTGGAACATTCATAGACACATAGAATAACAGAAATCAGAGCAGAATACCTGCTGAGTTGTTCTGTCAGTTCCCTCAGCCCATCAAGACTGGTCCCTGAAATATGTTCTCCAGTGCTTTGTCCAGTCCCGTTTTAAATTACTCAAATGATGGGGCTTTCAACACCTCTCTTCAGAGACTAATTTTATTATAAACATTATTAGAAGTACAGGAACACTGTGCAGTGGTTAGAATATGGCTGACATAGTGCAATAAGGTCCCTTAGCCTAGAGAGCTCACATTCTAAAGGAGGAACTGGGAACAAAGTGGGCCAGAGTCATATTTCCACAACTTAATAGAGCTCATTGTTAACATTTTTTCTGATATCCATCCTAATCTTCCTTTTCTTAATTGCATCCCACTACATCAATTTGTACCTCCTTAGGCTACTCATAATAATACCTCTACATCCATGGAAGGTGGAGACCAGAGACGTAATGGCCACAAGCAAGTAACTGAGGATTCCTGAAAATTTATAGTCTAGGAATCAGTAGATGATGTGAAAATATCAGATGAATGTAGCAGCAATCAATCACACAAACATGGATGTTGACATCAGTTCTGTGGCCCTAATAGTTCTGCGGGGTGTATGAACTCACATCCTGCATTTTAAGGGACATCTCTTATTTGCTGCCTAATGTCCCACATTCTGTCTGAGCTACTAAGGAATATTCAATCAGCTAAATGGTATGTTTTCAAACAACAGTCATATTGAGAATCATATACTGCTACGCAAATATCTGATTTTATACTGTGAATGAAACATTGTGGTATAGTGTCCTATAAAATTATTTTTTCACTGAATGTTTCTTACAATTGTTTATTTCTTCAGTGTTACCAACTTTTGTGATTCTATTGTGTCTTGAATTTGTAGTGGTTTTTTTCCTGAAAGCTCCAGATACTGATATCGTGCAGCTTTCATTTTTAAAAAAGTAAGTTTCTTGCTCTCCTAGATGCAGAGGCAAAACTTGAACATGTGAAGCAAGTGCACCAAAAGGCTCAAAAGTCAGAAGGCAAATAAAAAGAACCAAACATTTGTTGGATCATATTAAAGAAGTTCTGTATTAAAATCACAAATGAGTTTGATTACCCATAGTTTAAATTCCAGGGTATTACTAATTAAGAGGTCTCTTGGTTTTTGGTACTGTCTCTCCCTCTATGTGTGAAACTTGCAAGCTGCTAATTGTGTTAGTACATTCTAAGACAGAGTCTGTTCTCAAAGCAATTCTTTGTAACAACAATTACTCACACAGAGAGAGACTTAAAGCAATACTCTGTAACAATAGAAACAGCACCCAGAGACTCCCCGCCCTTTTGTTGTATTCATCTCGCTTTGTTAACAACTGTGATTAAAATAGAGATAGAGGATGTATGTGGATGGATGCTTGGTGTGGATAATAACTGAATGATCAGGGAGGTGCCAGCCTAAGAATCCAGTGTCCATCGGCTGAAGAAGGCGTCAAGTGGAAATAACCAGAGGACCCCCGGAGGGCAGACTGGAATCCACCCAACAGCCTCAAGAATGGGAGAACCAAAGAACAAGATAACATCTAGCAGCACGGAGCCATCAGGAATGTGCTATCTGCTGATTGATTCAGCAACAGCATGATGAAGCAATTCCCATAGACTGGCATAAGAAGAAACTCCTATAAAAATGGACTCTAGAAAGTGAGAACTTTGGGGTCTGATTCTGCAAACCAACTTCCAGGAGCATCAGATGAGCATCTGACAAGGCCCTGCTCCCTCCTTATGTCCAGGCCAGCTGGCCAGTGGCTTGGCATGAGCAGCTCTAAGGCTGATAACTATGATAACTACCTTGCAGAACCTGTGTGTGTGTGTGTGTGTGTGTGTGTGTATGAATGAATGTATGAATAAATATGAGATTGAATGGAATCTTATAGCTATAACTAACTGCTTACTATGATTCTTTCTATATTCACAATAAATGTGGTATTTTGCCTTTTCCCCTTTAATAAGATCCTGCTGGTTTTTATTTTATTGGTATAACACATTTATTTTTTTAAATCTCTTTATTTTTAAGCCAATCATAATTCTTGGGAAGCTGGACTCATGATTTGTATATGTTTGGATTGGCAGTACTGTTTCCTTCCTTATGGATGGCTATGTTACATAGAATTTGTTTAGGAAATTTCATGTTTTGGTGGTATTTAACCCCTCCAGCTTTGGCATAGGGCAGTGGTTCTCAACCTATTTACCATTTTGGGCTCTATATGTTATGTGGGCCACTTCCACACAAAATATATGCTACCTGTATGACCCTGAGGATGTCACACAGGCC